CATCTGGCCCACTGATAGAAGGGCAGATCCTTGCATTTTTCCCTAGTAAGGGAGTCAGATTTGCATTGCTCTATCTCTACGGTTACACAGTTTCTTGTAGAAACCACTGTGGAAAACCTCAATCTTGGGTTGGAACCCCAGAACAGAGAAGCCGATGGGACCTTCACAAGGACACCCATCCCCCTGACCTCCACCAGCATCAGGCCCCACCTGAGTTCCCCAGGCCTGGACCACGGCATGGAAGTTGTGGGCCAGACAGATCTCAGGCCACAGCTTAGGCTCCTGGTGGATCCCCTGTATAACACGGGCAGCAAATGGTATTGGTCTCAGTGGTTCTCCCCCCAGCATGCCCCTTAGTGTTCTATTTTTGCATGTGGGATCTTAGTTCCCCGACCAGGGGTTGAACCTGTGCCCCCTGCAGTGGAAGCACAGAGTCCTAACCACTGGACTGCCAGGGAAGTCCCCCTCCTGGTGGTCCTTTATAAATGGTTTTATTGAGATACAGTTCACATACTACACAGTTCACCCATTTAAAGTGTAGAATTCAGTTGTTTGTAGTCTATTCACAGAGCTGTGCAACTGTCACCACAGTCAATTTCAGAACATTTTCATCACCTCAGAAAGAAACCCCAGACCCTTTAGCTGTATCCCTCTATCCCTTCAGCTACGTCAACCCCTGGCAACCACTAATCTACCTAATTTGCCGGTTCTTGACTTTCATAGGAATGGACTCATACGATATGTGGCCTTCTGTGACTGGCTTCTTTCACCTAGCATCATGGTTTTTTTCCAGGTTCATCCATGTTGTGGCATTTATCAGTACTTCTCTTTATGGCTAAATAATATTCCATGGTGTGGGTATAACACATTTTGTTTATCCACTCATCCAATTGATGGATCAATGGTTCTTTAATACAAAAAATGTCCAGTGCTGAGATGCTCGGTCCCCCCACCCACAAAGCAGACTTGGCCATCACTGCTGGCTGGCCACCTTCTGTTAGTGGCCAGGGTCTCCTTGAGAGAGGCGGGGCTCAGCTGTATCAGGAAGGACTTTCAGAGGAGGAAGTTCCGTTTTAAGTCGTAGGAAGTGAGGGTGATGACAGAGGAGGGATCTCTTCGTGCGCCCTTATGCCAGCATTCCAGACCCTCTGCCCTGCGGGCCCCAGCGCCCTCCTCCTCAACAGGCCAGCCCTCCTTCTGCGTGGCTCACATGAACCCGGAGAAGCCCCGAGGTGCTCAAGTGTGGTTCGTTCGGCAGGCAGAGCGAGCCCTAAGCCATTGCCAACTCCGCCAGGGCCTTGGGAGTTCACTCTGACGTCCCTCAGCAGGACCCAGAGGCTGTCTCAGGCCTCCCTGTGCCTTTTCCCTCTAACCTGGCCTCCTTTACCAGGTTTGCCAAGTACTACAACGACCTGACCGGCACCGAGCGCCGCACGCTCATCAAAGCCTACGGCATCCGATTCGACATCATCGTGTTTGGAAAGGTAGCCTGGCCGCCGGCTCCCCTCGTTCAGAGCCCACTGGTCCTCTTCTGGGCTGGCCAGGGGCAAGGGGCCCTCTCCACACCCCTATCACAACTTCTTTTTCTCCCACCATCTGCAGGCTGGGAAATTTGACATCATCCCCACCATGATCAACATTGGCTCTGGCTTGGCGCTCTTAGGGGTGGTGAGTGGCTCACTTAGACCTCTCTGGCCACCCGCCTGGGGCTGTGACCCCCCCAGCACTGCAAGTTGAGACCCTCTGCTGGCATCCTGGTTCTTCCCCTTGACCCCAGACTTGTTTCTAGGCTCGACCCTCCAGGCTTATTTCCCTTCCCCATCCCCACCTGCTTCCTCCTGCCCTTCTCCAAGACAGCGCCCCTCAGGCCCTAACCTTTTCCCCCCGGAGAGATGGAGGAGCCCTTCATTTCCTTGGAAGATCCCAGGCTTTGTGGGAAGGGGCGCACATAGACTAATAGGGCCACAGCATCCTGCCTCATTCTTTCTTGCCCTGTGCTGCATTCAGGCGACAGTGCTGTGTGATGTCATAGTCCTCTACTGCATGAAGAAAAGATACTACTATCGGGAGAAGAAATATAAATATGTGGAAGACTATGAGCGGGTAGGTCGCCTCCTGAGCTCCCAGCCGGCAGGAAGGCCCAAGCGGCCTTCCTCACCTGCCTCTTGTCCCAGCGGTGAGAACCCCTAGGTCATCTAGGTGTGTTGTCCACTCACGCAGTCACATGCAACTCTTGTCGTCTGCTCCATTTCTAGACCACCTATACTAGCCTTTACTTCATACTTTTCTTCAAATGGACTCACTCTTTAAAATCTAGCCTTCATTTTAATCAGTGATGTCTCAGGTTAGTTATGATAATGGATATCATGCCAAAACCTCTGTCCACACTCTACTTAAATTCGCCTTGAAGAGAAAGAGGGGTTGGGTACCCCTAGGACCTACCTGAATACGCTCAGTTGTGAAGGACTGTCCAGACGTCCTCAGGGAAAGTGCCCGATTCCCACCTGCCCGAAATGGTCCAGACTTGCCTGCGGGCAGCACAGGGCGGTGCACATGTATCCATATCAACTGACGATAAGCATATTGTTCTTTGCAGGGTCTTGGCAGTGAGACGGACCAGTGATGCCCACCCCACACCTGGGCTCTCCTTGGCCCTCATCAGAGCACAGCAAGGAGGGAGAAAAGGCTGCCTGCCATGTCACCCCAGAGGAAGTTCCAGATTCTGAGTCAGTCTCCACAAGTGCTGCAGGGTTGCCCAGCTGCTCCCATGTCTGGTGTGTAGGGTTTGTGTAGTAAACCACTATGCACATGCTGGGTCACCTCCTGTCTGTGGCTGGGTCACCTCTGCCGTTCCTTCTCTTTGGGGTCACTGGGGCAAGCTCTGGCCTGAGGGCAGTGAAGTGGCTGTGGCTACAGGGCCGAGGACTTCTCCAGGGCCGGGTCTCCTCAGAAGCTTCCATCTCCAGCCCCCTTCGAGACAGGCCCAGTCCTCAGAGGCCCGGCAGCTTCACTCAAGCACTGTATAAGGAAGGCGGGACACCTGGCTGTGCTTGTAGCTCTTCGGCACACCCGGGCTGCTGTTCCCCTCCCCCCACCAGAGGCTTCAACCACGAGGTCATGAGGCGGAGCTAGTGTTTTTCCTTTGAGAAGAGCTACATGGAGATGACTGAGGACCAAACATTAAAACAAATGATTTTCTTAATCTCTGTGTGGTTTCACAGCGTGAGCTAGAACTTTCCTTCCTTCCCCTTTACTTGGACCAGTAAATCCATTTGTTATCCCAGCTCACTGTGCTCCTGAAACAGTCTATTGCTGGAGCTTAGGTTTTTTTTTTTTCGACTTTAACCTTCTCTTAAAACCTAAGAAGTGTGATCTTTGTTAGCTTGTGTTCCTATAGAGTTTACGAGTTTTTTTTCTGTGGTGTACTGTTTGTCTTACCGGTGCTCACATTTTACCTAAAAGTGTGGGTCTACACTACAGGGAACAGTTTTAGGTGACATGAAGGTGGCTTATCCTCCCTCCTCCTCATTTGCCTTCCAGAAACCTCCAACCAAAAGCAGCACCCCCTACACCTACCTTGCCACCGATTTGAAATGTTAATGAAGCTATTTCTAGCTTGCCTTCACACCGACTTTATTCTGCATCAGGTGTTCAGGATCTCCCTAAAGAAAGCAGCCTGCCCCTCCTCCTTGTTATGAATTCATTTCCAACTGCTGAGGGAACGTTTATTTTAGAAGTGCTCTGCTTCTGCAGGATAAATGGCCAACCTGGGCTTTTCTTGCTCTGGGGAAAAAAGAAAAAAGTTTACAGACCCCTTTGAAGAAGTTCTGGTTCAAGCTACCTTTCTGAAAAATGCCTGCTTGAACACACCAGTCATATGGAGCTGGAATTTTTAGGAAAGGCTTATTATCTTGCAGGCTAAGGAGTGATGGTTACTGGAGTGAGGAAAGACTTCTTTCAGCCTCCCTTTTCTAAAATGGAATGCTACAGCCAGGTGGGATGAGGGTTGGGGGTGGCATTGTCCTTTAACTCACCAGAATCATCTTGCTTTCTGCTACAGCCCCACTTGTTGGCACTCCTTGGCACTGCCTCTTAAGTAGGGTTCCTTCAGCCTTGCATCCATGGATGACCTTCTAGGAGATTCTGAAACCCCTAAAACTGTGCAAAGTGATGCACCTGTGTGCATTTCTGCTCGCATTCATCAGATTCTCAGTGGGGTCTTTGAAAAGGAACACCTGCTCTTGTCTCTGGAAGGCCCGTATTTCAATGTTGTATTCCTGCAGTAATGGAACAGGAATCTTTCAGATTTCATCTACTGTCGCTTGATAACAGAAAACTGAAGTTCAAAGCTAGTAAAGCAATCCTGTGGGCTAGGTTCACATTTAGAATACAGGGAGCCCTCAGCCCGCAGTCTGGAGAAAGCAACCGTTCTAAAATAGTCTCCAGGGGCCGTGAAAACCGGCAACCGTCAAGGCTCTGCAGAACACTGAATCTGCTGAAAAATTCAGCCTACTTTCTGAGCCTCGGTTTACAGATGATGATCCATAAAATGGGGTTAATACCTACCTCACGGGTGAAGTGTCACGTTGCATGCCTACCCACGGGACGTATTCAATGTGTGATTCAAACTGCTACCGTAGCTGCTCGCCTGTTTGGTCTCCATCAGAAGAACCTACCTGCCGGTGACCTGCCTGGCAGAGCAGTGCTTTGCAAGCTTCAGCATACAGGTGAGTCACCTGGGGATCTTGTTTAAATGGGGCCTGGGAATATGAATTTCTAACCCAGTCCCAGGTGATGCTGACACTGCTGATCCGGGGACCACACTCTGAGTAGCGAGGTACTAGGGCATGCTTAAGTTAGGGATTTGCTGAGTACATCAGCCCTGATGGGCATCTGATCTTGCTGTCAGCTTAAGGAAAGAAAACAGACATAAGGACTGATGACCTCGAGAGCACTGACTTAATTAAACGACCAACAAAAACATCCCGAAGAGGCCCAGGCTTTGCACCATTTTGCTGTCTGTTTATTTCAAGTTTACAGAGAAGCTTAAACATTTGTGGAAAAACACCGAAGGCTTATTTTTCTCTTAAGTTCATGTACTTTTTAGTGATAAATACACAGTATTTAACTTTGTACACCTGATAAAAGGAAAATGCATAGTAGAAAGGATCAGGAATAAAACAGAAGCATCGGGCATGAAATCAATCACAGGATAGAAAAGTCAGCAGTCCCACGAAACTCGGCCCGTGAAGCTGGAGAGAAGATGGGAATCAACGACCTTGAAACCTTCCCTAGCACCTTGGAAGTGAGTGGAGGTCTTGGTTCTTTTCCCCTGGCAACGTGAAGCTCCCCTTTGGAAGATGGGTGAGAGCGACAGGTGCAGCCTGTGTCTAAATGCACAGCTTTCCCCTCCTTGTCCTGAAAGGCTTTGAGGAGGGGAGCCCTAACTCACGGAAAAGCCCAGACCAGAGGGGAGATGGCCTCTCAGGCCCCAAGTGCCAACAAGGGGCTAGATAAGGCTTTATGGGAGCCACTGGCCAGGCTGCGGAATAGATGGGGAAGTGGAACAGGACAGAAGGAAGATGGGTAGAGAACATGTGCTGCTTCAAAGCCACAGGTGCAGGCCACCGCTTGCTTACACCAAACTGGTCCCACAGATGAGCCAGTAAAGGAAGAGACGGATAGGCATCCTTTTTGCTTACCTGGAAAAGCTTCTGCCCTTTCCTGACAGAGCCGGCTTTTGAAAAAAAATCAACGTTTGTGCTTTAGGAGTGGAGACAAACCCCAAGAGTTTGCGCTCCAAGTAGCTCTAATGCTTTATGTTACAGCCCTCTCTGCTTATACTTTTCTCAGTGGGGCGGTTCCTTTCCACAGCTTTCTTTGGTGTTTCTTAGTTTAAAAAAAAAAAAAAAAAGTAATGAACGTGGGCCTCCCCCAACCCACTCGCCTACCTAGCTCAGTGCTGCCTGATCGCTGGCATTCCACATGTGAACCCTTAGACGGAGAGTTTCGTGGTGGGAGAAATGGCGTCGCCTGATGCAGTTGTGTAAACACAGGAGGAGTTCTGCAGAGGCTCTGCATGCTGCCCGCCCTCCCTGGGCGAGCCACTCGGCCAGGCCAGAGTCCAAACAGACAGGCTAGGACTAAGACTAAGGACCGGTTGACCTAAACCACCGCAAGGTGCTTACTGCAAACTAATCAGACCCTGTTTGCTCCCAGGAAGGCTGGAGCCTGTAAATTTAAACAAGCACAGGAGGTGAGAGGAAGTACCAGATTACAGAAGGCAAGCAAGCAGGCCAGAGGACCCTCCAGCAGATGGGTGTCCTTTGCTCTTGGAAACCAGCATTCTCTAGCTCGGTACTGCTTTTAAGGTAGCAAGAAAAGTCTGGCTAAACGACAGTCAAGAGCTTATGAAGACTGATGGACGCCAAGAACACCCGGGCTCTATGAACACGCTGGACGGGGGGAACAAGGCCTGCTTCTCTGCCTCTCTGCAAAAAGTCCTCGTACCAGCACTGATCAGCCAGAAACCACAGGAAAGCACGTCCTTCTGAGCCCAGTTACTGACACTGTTTCCCCCAAGCCAGATTCCACAGAGCACTGGGAATTCCAAAGAAGGAAGGAAGACGAAGCCCTTCCAATTTTCCTCCCTCTTGAAGTTCACACTCACCTATGTGTGGCTCTGGAAGAAGTCCACTTGAACTGCAGCCAAACTTCCCAAGGTTAGTTGGAAGTCAAAAAGGTAAACTTTTTCTTTCTGGACTTCTGGCTACAAAAAGGAACTCCCTGTACGAAGCCCTGGTTCCCATGGACCTGAGGACTGCTGTAGGTTTCAATCATCTTCTCTTAAAGGGTGCCCTAAAGTTATTGTATAGATCCAAACAGAGCTTTGCCGGTAAGGATGATCATTTGTGTCTCAGCTGAATGAAAGCATTTCTTAACTGGCCCTCCAGAAACTGGATAAGTGTTTCATTGACTACAACAATCAGCTAGTATTTAAGAAGAAAACAGAACCTTAGCAGCCTCTAGAATACACACGTTATAAACAAGGTGAGCTGCTAATACACAGGCATAGATTTCATTGGCTCTAACTCCGATCACATCCCTGAAGGCATGGGAGAGATCCTGGAAGCTCGAAATGATTTCTGAACTGCTCTAGAGTTCAGACTGGTTAGAAAATTGAAAGTATTTTTTGTTGTTGTTTACTCTTAAGCCATGTAATGTACATGGAAGTGTAGGATTTCACCCTGAAGTTTTTGTAATTTAACAAGAGATTTACCAGAGCTCCCTCAACTACTGAAGAAAAGTTTCAGCTTTGAGCGGCTGTCATAAAGAAACACACTCGTTCAGTCCTTTAGGGGAGATGTCCCACCACAACCATTGAATGCCCCTCTGAGGCTGGAAAATCCCCCCTGTGAAGCTGTTAAGTGTCAAGCCCTTTCCGTTTTCCTGACTACAGCTCTACTTATAAAAAAATTTTTTAAGTCCTTCTTAAGAATAAGTTACATCGAAGCTCCCTGCAGCTACTGAGGGCCAGCCCTGTCCTGACTCCTTGAGTCCACAGTTCTAGAAGGTGCCACGGTTCGGGTCTTGGGGTTTTGTGCAAAATCACACCCGCTCTTCCCCTCCCTTTCAAATGCAGCGAGTGTGGTCTCAGACCACACCACCAGTTTCCTGCCAGTTTTCCCCAATTTTTAAACTCCACACACATTCACTTGGTATATCTGACATGATTCTCAGTTCACAAGGAAGGATTTTTGGCATAAAAACATTTTAAAAAGCAAGTGTCCCCAAATGTACGTGGCTTTGGGTCTGCAACTCCTCACACCCTCCCATTCAGCCAGCCAGCGGCCAAGGTCGATGTCATGGAGTCGTCTTTTTTTTTTTTTTTTTTTCTCCTTTAAAAAAATAAAGAAATCAAACAAACAAATGGTTAAAACAACAACAACAATAACCAGAGATGATGGTCAAGGCTCTACACACGTGCTCGGTTTCCGTAGGACATGCTGCTATGGAAACGCAGGGCGCGGCCCGCGGAGGTGAGACGTGCATGCGAGGTCGAGGTCCGGCAGCTACTCCATCACCTCGTCCGGCCACGGAGGATGCGTCCGCTTGCCGGAGCCGGGGGCCAGGGCCCCCCGACTCTCCACCCCTGGGCCGCCTTTCACAAGAGCGCTTCCTCCTCCCCCACGAGAGGCGGGTCGGGGCCCCGGAGGCTGTCTTCGCTGCCTTGCTTCCTGCTCACCAAACAGAAAACCCGTGTTAAGACCCAGCGCAATGCTGGCACGGCCCTGAACCAAGGTTTCCCGCGGCCCCGCACCACCTGGGTCGGACATTATTTACTTAACTTCTTTTAGATTCTCCCCCCCGTTTTTCTTGCTCACATGATAAAGTTTCAAAGGAGACTTCGTATCCCCTCTGTAAATGGAAAACCAGCATCGTGTGCAAAAATAGCAAGGAACTATAAAAATAGCTGTTAATCTAGGGGCCTAACACCTAAAATCATGGCACATGTCACAAGTCACGTGTGGGCTCCACACTGGGGCCTGTTCACCAAGGGCTTTAGGCTCTAAGCTCTTGCAGGGCAGGAACCGTGACACTTGTCTTCAGCCCCCAGGTGCGTTTCCTGGGGGCAACGAGCAGCACGCCTGACTTGGCCTGGCACATAGCCAGCCTTCAGGAAACGGTCGTCAACAGAACTGCCCTCCGCACACAGGCCCGGGGGACACCTCCGACGAAGAGAAGGGCCCTCAACTCGGCAATGTGTGATCAGAGCAGGAGACCAAGTTGGTGGGAAGAAGTGTCCTGGTGTCCCCAGCTAGAGCTGCCTGGGGTGACAGACATGGGCAGTGCGATGGGAAATGTGAGGGAAAGTCCCTAAGGAGAGGCCCAAACCCTTTGCCATCATCAAGCAAACAATGCCCCTCCTAAAGGGAGCCGTTGGGCTTGCTATGCAGGACTAATGTCTATTGTGAGCCCTAGGCCCAAAGGGCAACTGCCCTTGCACGAGGGAAGGGCAACTGCCCTTGCACGAGGGAAGGGCAAGCGTGATGTCTGTACATTCCTAGGAAGAAACTCCTCTTTGTTTAAAACTCACACTCACTGGCTTTTACGTTTCTGCCAAAGAATAGGGTGTCAAGTCTCCTGGGAGGAGAGTTGTAACTGGATAACCAATGAGGCCCTACAGCTGCCTACTCACACCAGCTGGTCTCCCTGCAGACAGCTAGTGGGCCATGGGCCCAAGGCCTCTAACGACTGACTGAGCCCTAAGAGCTCCAGAGTGCTGGACCATTGGGACAACCAAAACATCCCATCGGTGGGCTGAGGGCAAGGGCAGGTAATCCCCAGGTGCTGCTGGGACGGAGGTGAGGGAATAAAGAGGCAGTCAAGTCCTCTGGGCCAGTATCAGTCTTTGGTGTCTTGCAACTTTGATCTCATTAAAAATAAAAGGTGAAATAAACAACAGACTTGCACGAAAAGGGAGGCAAACTCTAAAACTGAGGTTGAGAAGAGAAGGGCCCAGCAAAGGCCAGCCCATTAGGCTTCACCCTGTCACCCTGTGAGGCTCAAAGCATAGGCGGGGTCACCCCATCATGCGCTGCAGAGGTGGCTGGGAACAATTTGGCAGGGACAGGGGCGGCCTTCACAGGCTGTGGGTGACTGGCTCTGACGGCTACCTGCCACTTTCCCTGCTCCTTTTTTAAGCATAAATGATCCCCAAATGGTCTTCCTATATTATCACATAAGCACCTGACTCCTACGGTGGCCAATAAATTTCATCTCAGAAGCCAACTCCTCACAAACGGAAACAACCGCTGCTTCTACAAGAATGTTCACAGCAGCGTTATTCATGCGTGACAGCCTCCGAAATGGAAACAATGTCCATCACCGGATGAATGGAGAAATAAAATGTGGGTATATCCATACAATGGAATATGATTCAGCCATAAAAAGGAATGAAGTTGGGAGAGGAACCAAGATGGCGGAGTAGGACGTGCTCTCACTCCCTCTTGCGAGAACACCAGAATCACAGCTAGCTGCTGGACAATCATCGAGAGGAAGACACTGGAACTCACCAAAAAAGATACCCCACATCCAAAGACAAAGGAGAAGCCACAATGAGACAGCAGGAGGGGCACAATCACAGCAAAATCAAATCCCATAACCGCTGGGTGGGTGACTCACAAACTGGAGAACAATTATACCACAGAAGCCGACCCACTGGAGTGAAGGCTCTGAGCCCCACGTCAGGCTTCCCAACCTGGGGGTCCGGCAACGGGAGGAGGAATTCCTAGAGAATCAGACTTTGAAGCCTAGTGGGAATTGACTGCAGGACTTCGACAGGACTGGGGGAAACAGAGACTCCACTCTTGGAGGGCAAACACAAGGTAGTGTCCGCATCGGGACCCAGGGGAAGGAGCAGTGACCCCAGGGGAGACTCAACCAGACCTACCTGCTAGCGTTGGAGGGTCTCCTGCAGAGGCGGGGGGTGGGGGTGGCTATGGCTCACCGTGGGGACAAGGACACTGGCAGCAGAAGTTCTGAGAAGTAATCTTTGGCGTGAGCCCTCCCAGAGTCTGTCATTAGCCCCACCAAAGAGCCCAGGTAGGCTCCAGTGTTGGGTCGCCTCAGGCAAAACAACCAACAGGGAGGGAACCCAGCCCCACCCATCAACAGTCAATTAGATTAAAGTTTTACTGAGCTCTGCCCACCAGAGCAACTGTCAGCTCTACCCACCACCAGTCCCTCCCACTAGGAAACTTACATAAGCCTCTTAGATAGCCTCATCCACCAGAGGGCAGACAGCAGAAACAAGAAGAACTACAATCCTGCAGCCTATGGAACAAAAGCCACATTCACAGAAAGATAGACAAGATGAAAAGGCAGAGGGCTATGTACCAGATGAAGGAACAAGATAAAACCCCAGAAAAACAACTAAATGAAGTGGAGATAGGCAACCTTCCAGAAAAAGAATTCAGAATAATGATAGTGAAGATGATCCAGGACCTCAGAAAAAGAATGGAGGCAAAGATCAAGAAGATGCAAGAAATGTTTAACAAAGACCTAGAAGAATTAAAGAACAAACAAACAGAGATGAACAATACAATAACCAAAATGAAAACTACACTAGAAGGAATAGCAGAATAACTGAGGCAAAAGAACAGATAAGTGACCTGGAAGACAGAATGCTGGAATTCACTGCTGTGGAACAGAATAAAGAAAAAAGAATGAGAAGAAATGAAGACAGCCTAAGGGACCTCTGGGACAACATTAAACACAACAACATTCTCATTATAGGGGTCCCAGAAGGAGAAGAAAGAGAGAAAGGACTCGAGAAAACATTTGAAGAGATTATAGTCGAAAATTTCCCTAACATGGGAAAGGAAATAGCCACCCAAGTCCAGGAAGCACAGAGAGTCCCATACAGGATAAACCCAAGGAGAAACACGCCAGCACACATAGTAATCAAATTGGAAAAAATTAAAGACAAAGAAAATTTATTGATAGCAGCAAGGGAAAAAAGACAAATAACATACAAGGGAACTCCCATAAGGTTAACAGCTGATTTCTCAGCAGAAACTCTAAAAGCCAGAAGGGAGTGGCATGATATACTTAAAGTGATGAAAGGGAAGAACCCACAACCAAGATTACTCTGCCCAGCAAGGATCTCATTCACATTAGATGGAGACATCAAAAGCTTTACAGACAAGCAAAAGCTAAGAGAATTCAGCACCACCAAACCAGCTCTACAACAAATGCTAAAGGAACTTCTCTAAGTGGGAAACACAAGACAAGAAAAGGACCTACAAAAACAAACCCAAAACAATTAAGAAAATGGTAATAAGAACATACATATTGGGGTTTCCCTGGTGATGCAGTGGTTAAGAGTGTGCCTGCCAATGCAGGGGACACGGGTTCGATCCCTGGCCGGGGAGGATCCCACATGCCGCGGAGCAACTCAGCCTGTGCGCCACAACTGCTGAGCCTGAGCTCTGGAGCCCGAAAGCCACAACTACTGAGCCCATGTGCCACAACTAGAGAAGGCCCACGCTCAGCAGTGAAGACCCAACACAGCCATAAATAAATAAATAAATTTATATTAAAAAAAAAAGAACATACATATCAATAACTACCTTAAACGTGAATGGATTAAATGCTCCAACCAAAAGACACAGGCTTGCTGAATGGATACAAAAACAAGACCCATATATATGCTGTCTACAAGAGGTCCACTTCAGACCTAGGGACACAAACAGACTGAAAGTGAGGGGATGGAAAAAGATATTCCATGCAAATGGAAATCAAAAGAAAGCTGGAGTAGCAATCCTCATATCAGATAAAATAGACTTTAAAATAAAGAGTGTTACAAGAGACAAGGAAGGACACTACATAATGATCAAGGGATCAATCCAAGAAGAAGATATAACAATTATAAATATATATGCACCCAACATAGGAGCACCTCAGTACATAAGGCAACTGCTAACAGCTATAAAAGACGAAATCGACAGTAACACAATAATAGTGGGGGACTTTAACACCTCACTTACACCAATGGACAGATCATCCAAACAGAAAATTAATAAGGAAACACAAGCTTTATATGACACAACAGACCAGATAGACTTAATTGATATTTATAGGACATTCCATCAAAAAACAGCAGATTACACTTTCTTCTCAAGTACGCACGGAACATTCTCCAGGATAGATCACATCTTGGGTCACAAATCAAGCCTCAGTAAATTTAAGAAAACTGAAATCATATCAAGCATCTTTTCTGACCACAACGCTATGAGATAAGAAATCAATTACAGGGGAAAAAACGTAAAAAACACAAACCATGGAGGCTAAACAATACGTTACTAAATAACCAAGAGATCACTGAAGAAATCAAAGAGGAAATCAAAAAATACCTAGAGACAAATGACAATGAAAACACGACAATCCAAAACCTATAGGATGCAGCAAAAGCAGTTCTAAGAGGGAAGTTTATAGCTATACAAGCCTACCTCAAGAAACAAGAAATATCTCAAATAAAAAATCTAACCTTACACCTAAAGGAACTAGAGAAAGAAAAACAAACAAAATCCAAAGTTAGCAGAAGGAAAGAAATCATAAAGATCAGAGCAGAAATAAATGAAATAGAAACAAAGAAAACAATAGCAAAGATCAATAAAACTAAAAGCTGGTTCTTTGAGAAGATAAACAAAATTGATAAACCATTAGCCAGACTCATCAAGAAAAAGAGGGAGAGGACTCAAATCAATAAAATTAGAAATGAAAAAGGAGAAGTTACAACAGACACCACAGAAATACAAAGCATCCTAAGAGACTACTACAAGCAACTCTATGCCAATAAAATGGACAACCTGGAAGAAACAGACAAATTCTTAGAAAGGTATTACCTTCCAAGACTGAACCAGGAAGAAACAGAAAATATGAACAGACCTTCACAGGTAATAAAATTGAAACTGTGATTTAAAATCTTCCAACAAACAAAAGTCCAGGACCAGATGGCTTCACAGGTGAATTCTATCAAACATTTAGAGAAGAGCTAACATCCATCCTTGTCAAACTCTTCCAAAAAACTGCAGAGGAAGGAACACTCCCAAACTCATTCTATGAGGCCACCATCACCCTGATACCAAAACCAGACAAAGATACTACAAAAGAAGAAAATTACAGACCAATATCACTGATAAATATAGATGCAAAATTCCTCAACAAAATACTAGCAAACAGAATCCAACAACACATTAAAAGGATCATACACCATGATCAAGTGGGATTTATCCCAGAGATGCAATGATTCTTCAATATACACAAATCAATCAATGTGATACACCATATTAACAAATTGAAGAATAAAAACCATATGATCATCTCAACAGATGCAGAAAAAGCTTTTGACAAAATTCAACACCCATTTATGATAAAAACTCTCCAGAAAGTGGGCATAGAAGGAACCTACCTCAACATAATAAAGGCCATATACAACAAAACCACAGCAAACATCATTCTCAGTGTTGAAAAACTGAAAGCCTTTCCTCTAAGATCAGGAACAGGACAAGGATGTCCACTCTCACCACTATTATTCAACATAGTCTTGGAAGTCCTCGCCATGTCAATCAGAGAAGAAAAAGAAATAAAAGGAATACAAATTGGAAAAGAAGAAGTAAAACTGTCACTGTTTGCAGATGACATGATACCATACATAGAGAATCCTAAAAATGCCACCAGAAAACTACTAGAGCTAATCAATGAATTTGGTAAAGGTGCAGGATACAAAATTAATGCACAGAAATCTCTTGCATTCCTATACACTAATGATGAAAAATCTGAAAGAGAAATTAAAGAAACAATCCCATTTACCACTGCAACAAAAAGAATAAAATACCTAGGAATAAACCTACCTAGGGAGACAAAAGGCCTGTATGCAGAAAACTATAAAACACTGATGAAAGAAATTAAAGATGATACCAACAGATGGAGAGATATACCATGTTCTTGGATTGGAAGAATCAATATTGTGAAAGTGACTGTACTACCCAAAGCAATCTACAGATTCAATGCTACCCAAAGCAATGTACAGATTCAATGCAATCCCTATCAAATTACCAATGGCATTTTTTACGGAACTAGAACAAATAATCTTAACATTTGTATGGAGACACAAAAGACCCCAAATAGCCATAGCAGTCTTGAGGGAAGAAAACGGAGCTGGAGGAATCAGACTCCCTGACTTCAGACTATAGTACAAAGCTACAGTAATCAAGACAATATGGTACCGGCACAAAAACAGAAACGCAGATCAATGGAACAAGATAGAAAGCCCAGAGATAAACCCACGCACCTATGGTCAACTAAACTATGACAAAGAAGGCAAGGACATACAATGGAGAAAAGACAGTCTCTTCAATAAGTGGTGCTGGGAAAACTGGACAGCTACATGTACAAGAATGAAATTAGAACACTCCCTAACACCATACACAAAAATAAACTCAAAATGGAATCGAGACCTAAATGTAAGACCGGACACTATAAAACTCTTAGAGGAAAACATAGGAAGAACACTCTTTGACATTAATCACAGCAAGATCTTTTTTGATCCACCTCCTAGATTAATGGAAATAAAAACAAAAATAAACAAATGGGACCTAATGAAACTTCAAAGCTTTTGCACAGCAAAGGAAACCATAAACAAGACGAAAAGACAACCCTCAGAATGGGAGAAAATATTTGCGAACGAATCAACGGACAAAGGATTAATCTCCAAAATATATAAACAGCTCATGCAGCTCAATATTAAACAAACAACCCAATCAAAAAATGGGCGGAAGACCTAAATAGACATTTTTCCAAAGAAGACATACAGATGGCCAAGAAGCACATGAAAAGCTGCTCAACATCACTCATTATTACAGAAATGCAAATCAAAACTACAATGAGGTGTCACCTCACACCAGTTAGAATGGGCATCATCAGAAAATCTACAAATGACAAATGCTGGAGAGGGTGTGGAGAAAAGGGAACCCTCTTGCACTGTTGGTGGGAATGTAAATTGATACAGCCACTATGGAGAACAGTATGGAGGTTCTTTAAAAAACTAAAAGCAGAATTACCATATGATCCAGCAATCCCACTACTGGGCATTTACCCAGAGAAAACCATAATTCAAAAAGACACATGCATCCTAATGTTCATTGCAGCACTATTTACAATAGCCAGGTCATGGAAGTAACCTAAACGCCCGTCGACAGACGAATGGATAAAGAAGTGTGGTACATATATACAATGGAATATTAGTCAGCCATAAAAAGGAACGAAATTGAGTCATTGGTTGAGACGTGGATGGATCTAGAGACTGTCATACAGAGTGAAGTCAGAAAGAAAAAAACAAATATCATATATTAACGCATGTATGTGGAACCTAGAAAAATGGTACAGATGAACCGGTTTGCAGGGCAGAAGTTGAGACACAGATGTCGAGAACAAACGTATGGACACCAAGGGGGGAAAACCCCGGGGTGGGTGGGGATGGCGGTGTGCTGAATTGGGCGATTGGGATTGACATGCACTGATGTGTATAAAATTGATGACTAATAAGAACCTGCTGTATAAAAAATAATAATTAAAAAAAAAAAGGAATGAAGTTCTGACACATGCTACATCATAGATGAACCTTGAAAACATTACGCTGAGTGAAAGAAGCCAGACACAAAGGCCACATACTATATGATTCCATTTATATGAAATGTCCAGAATATGCAAATCTATAGAAACTGACAGTAGATTCGTGCTGGCTGGGGAACGGGGGAGTGGGTGGTGAGAGCTAAGGGTACAGGGTTTCTTCTTGGGCTAATGGAAATGTTCTAAAACTGATTGTGGTGATGGTCACACAGCTTTGTGAATATATTAAAAACTATTGAATTATATACTCTAAATGGGTATGTGATTTATAGCTCAATAAAGCTGCTTTTAAAACTTAGAAATGGCTGCCTGGAGCTCCCAGCTGATAATGAGGTGGTGAGCTGGGCTCAGTGCGCAGAGTACTGGGACTGCTGTCCTGCCACAGGCATGGGGTGGGGGCCAAGTGGCAGCAGGGGTGCAAGTATTTGTCACCTCAGTCTTGCGGGGACAAAAATTCTCATCTGTCCTGGGAGGCGCTGGGACTAATGAGCTGGTTATGTGTTTGAAAGAGGCTGGCTGACTGGTGAAAAGGTCCGGATCCTCCCCAGAGGCAGAGGACTCTCACACTCATTTGCAACAGGCTGGAAGGGGACTTATTTTCTAGGTCTTAACCCATCAGAGAAGAAAGGGTGGATGCTGGAGAGCCCCAGGCGGGAGCCCCCGAGCGCAGCATGCCCGATCTAGGCTCTGACCGCTGACCCAGAGCAGGGGCTGCCTCGGCCGTGACACAGCTTCAATGCCATTGACGTGCACTGAGCATATGTGGGTGCCCGACTAGGTCTAAGACCTGGGTGAGCTCACAGGCATTCCAGGTGGAGCGCCATGCACCCGCAGCCCCAGCCCACATGCACAACCCACCGTCGGGTCCAAGCCCCTGGATGCCCCTCGTTTTCTTCCTGGATCCGGAGGCCCAAGGTGAGCCTGGGCACAGCAGCCTGGGCTGGAAGGAACGTCCGCCTGGGTGGGGATACCCCGTGCTCTGCAGCTGCCCCCGCCCCCAGGCCCTGGCAGAGGCTAAGGCACAGGCAGGCAGGCGTTACCTTGGGCTCAGACAGGGGCTCACACTCCCTGGTTGGTTTTTTGCTGGAATCGCCAGAGGGGAGGGAAAAGGGAAGTGAGAAGGGACACTTGCGACCCATGGGATTCCTGTCCCCCACCCCAGATACACTCAGACCCCGAACACCAGCTTCACGGAGCTGTTGCCAGGGCAGTTAGGAGCAGGACACCTCTCCGCCGTGAGACGCGGGGTCCCATGAGCGAGACTGGCCTTGCTCACCCACCGCAGGGACAAAAATCCCACCGTCAAGCATGCATGCTTTGGGGTCAAACAGCCTTTCTGATTGTCAGCCACCCCCCCACCCTCGTTAAAGTGCAAGTCCCCCTGAGAAAGGTCAAACTTCCCTGTGGATTAGCTGTCAGCAAAGGAGGCAGGCTGAGTCCAGGGTGGGGCAAAACCAAAGCCAGCGGCTGCTCGGGTCTCCCCAGTGTGCCCAGTGGGGCTGGTCTGAGTCTTTCTGGACACGGCCGCTGCAGGGCTGGGCCCACACAGAGTCGGCCGGGCAGGGCTGCCCTGCGTTCAGCCTCCAGCTCCCCACCCCGGAGGAAGGCAGGTGGACACTCACATGAGCAGGTTTCCAGGCGCTGACAGCGAGCGCTCCTCCCGCCGGCTGCCCTCAAACGGGTTCCCGAAGGAGCGTTTTCGTATCATGGTCTTCACCAGGATCTGGAGGAAAGAAGAGGAGGCTCGGCCACGTGGGGGAGATTCCAGGCAGCATCCTCCCTCGTGCGACTCCACGAGTCCCGTCTACCTCTTCCTTTCTCCCCACAACCCACCCCCGCTGCCTGCCAGCTCCCAGGGCTTGTGGCTGATGGCGGGCCTTTGAGAGACACCCACCAGGGATACAGCAGCCACAGCCATCACAAGTCTCACTGGCCTGCTCCTCAAATCTCCACGGCTCCCTGGCTGCCAACAAGATAAGGTCTAAACTCCTCAGTCTGACATTCAAGGCCTGGCATAAGCTAGTCTTGGCCTACTCAACTGCCAGGGGATGCTGTGCTCCAGGAGAGCTGGCCTGTACTGTCCATCCAGTACCCCTGGTACCATCTGTCTCACCTGAGCCATCACTGGACATGCCCTCCTGGCCCATCAACCTGTCTCATCTTCAAGGCCAGGCCTTTATTTTTGGTGAAAGCCATCTACAACCAACGCAACAAGTAACCAACTATTGCTTCCCAGGTATAATCCTGGGAGGGGGATGGGAGTCACTGCACTTTTAACTGAAATGTAATTCACACAGCAAAAAAGTCTCCATTTTAAAGTGTACAATTCAACGGTTTTTAGCATATTCACATCACCACTGTCTAATTTCAGAACATTTACATCACCCCGAAAAGAAACCCAGTACCCATTCGCAGTCAGTCCCCATTCCTCCTCCCCTCCAGCCCCTGGCAACCACCAATCCACTTTCTGTCTCTATGGGTTTGTCTATTCTCATTTCATATAAATGGAATCATTCAGTACGTGGCCTTTGGGGTCTGGCTTCTTTCACTCAGCATGTTTTCAAGGTCCATCCACGCTGCAGCACGAATCATTGCTTTATTCCTTTTTATGGCCTGGTAATAATCCTTTGTGTGTATATGCCACATTTTGTTTATTCATTCATCCTTTGGACTGTTTCCACTTTGGGGCTATTGTGACTAATGCTGCTATGAACAATTTGTGTACAAGTTTTTGTGTGGACACTTTCCACACAAAATGTTTTCCACTCAGCATGTTTTCAAGGTCCATCCACGCTGCAGCACGAATCATTGCTTTATTCCTTTTTATGGCCTGGTAATAATCCTTTGTGTGTATATGCCACATTTTGTTTATTCATTCATCCTTTGGACTGTTTCCACTTTGGGGCTATTGTGACTAATGCTGCTATGAACAATTTGTGTACAAGTTTTTGTGTGGACACTTTCCACACAAAATGTTTTCGTTTCTCTTGGGTGTACACCTAGGAGTGGAATTCTTGGATCGTTTGGTAACTCTATGTTTAACATTTTTAGGAGCTGCCAGACTGTTTTCTACAGTGGCTACACAGTTTTTTACAGTCCCACTAACAATACAAAATGGTACCAGTTTCTCAGGGGGCTGCATTTTAGCTGAGGATGAGAAACATCTGTCTCAGTCTAAGGAGCTGAGGAAACATCCCAGGACACTGAGGGTGGCCAGTCCACGGGCTGGTGTGGTGTGAGGGCAAGAGAGGTCAGAGGTCCCGAAAGTCCTTTTTTTAAGTCTGAGAGGCACTGGGAGCTGGCATGTCCACTGTCATGAGTGGGAACACTTTGGTGTCCCCCCCCATCCACCCTAAGACAGACTGGGTCCACAGCTTGGCTGGGAAACACCTGCCAGAGGAGGGGATCTTTGGGGAAAAGGTAATATCCCTCCATCACGTCCCTCAGCCACTGCTCAGCTTCCCTCCTCTGCCTTCCAGTCTTCCCTTCAGCCCATCCTTTCTGAAACCCAGATCTGATTCCCTTACTCCCTGACTTGGTATCTCTCACCCATAGGAGTTTGGAACTTATCCTGTTACCAGTCAGGGAGTCATGGAAGGTTCATGGTGATGCTTTTGCCTGCTGTATTTCATGAAGGAATTTTCAAGGAAGTGGCCTCAACACCCTGTAAGGCTCTGGCCTCCTTCCAAGCAGAGCATGATGCCTCTTCAAGCTGTTTCATGTACTGACTGAGCTTGCGGATTTTTCTTTTAAAGGGTTTGCTGCTAAAAAAGAAAAAAAAAAGTGTTTAAAAAACCACTAAAAGGTGGAGACACCCAAATGTCCATCAACTGATGAATGGATAAGCAAAATGTGCTCTAGCCATACAATGGAATACTTTTCAGCCCTAGAAAGGAATGACTGGCTACAATGTGGATGAACCTTGAAAACATTATGCTGAGTGAAAGAAACCAAGCACAAAAAATCACATACTGTATGACTCCATTTATATGAAATGTCCAGGATAGGCAAATCTATAGAGACAGAAAACAGACTAATGGATGCCAGGGGCTGGAGGGAGGGGAGAACAGAGAGCGAGTGCTCACAGGTACGGGGGTTTCTTTCAGGATGATGAGAATGTTTCAGAACTACAGAGGTGATGGTTGCACAATATTGTAAATGTACTACATGCCACCGTATTGTTCACTTTAAGTGGTTACTTTTATGTTACATGAATTCTACCTCAATTTAAAAAAAAAAAAAAAAAGAAAGAAAAGAGAAACGCTGAGCTAGAGAATGAAGGCTGTGCCCCTTGGCAAGCACTCAAGGTCCCTCCCTTGCCAAGGCCCGAGCTCTGTGGTTCCTGGAACACAGGGCCTGTTTCCTCTGAGCCTGTGCAGGCACCATCCCCCCGGTGAGACTGGCCTCCCCAGTCCTCAGGACCCAGCGAAAGGGGCTCCTGCCCTCTGGCGCCTGCCACGCCTGCTCCTCTACCCGCTGGCCTGTCACCGTGTGATGGTACAGGAGAGTGATTCTTTCTTTCCAGATCCATCTTCCTTATGAGGCCGGGAGCCCCATGAGAGCTGGCACTGTCCCTTGTTCACCTCTGTAACCCCGTGCCCGGCACACCCTGGGTGCCAGGAGGGGGCCTGGGCCTCCCCGCTCCAGCCCCTCCTTCTCAGACAGCTGCTGAAGCCCTCACTTCCTCCCTGCCCCCCCACAGTCCATTCTCCACGTGGGACCTTCCCAAGGCCAATAATGATCATGCCGCTCCCCTGAATCAAACCTCTTGGGACCAAGACTTAAACCTCTGCTGTGGCCTCAGGCCTTGTGTGGCCTGGCCCCACCTCCCGTCCAGCTTCACGCCACCCTCCCTTCTTTGCCCTGCTTCAGCCACCCTGGCTTTCTTGAGGTTTCTCATGGACATGATCCCACCAGAGGATCACTGCGTTTGCTGTTCCCTTTTCCAGGAATGCCCTTGCCCTTTACCCTCTCTCGGCCTGATTAACACCCCGCCATCCTCTCAGCGTGCATCTTCCAAGAGGCCTCCTCCAATCCATCACCTGGGCTGCATTCCCCTCTTAGGCGTACCCCTTGCAGCCCCTCTGTTACTTGCATAATTTATTTGTTGGTTCTTTGCCCAGCGTCTGCAGGCACCATGTTTGTTGTATTCATCTCTGTATCCCCTGCTCCCAACACAGGCCTGGGGAAACCACTCAGTGTTCAAGAAGTGTTTCCTGAATAATCAACGCCTATTTCAGACCTCTAGGGTCAGACGCCTTCTCCCAAGAATACCCACAACCAGGAATAGAATAACCCGGGGTGGACGCTGGGAGCCCCACGTCAGCTGCCTTCCCCACGGCAGGCTCGGGACGTGGGTGCAGCGAGCGGGTGGATGAGAAGGAGGGGGTGTGTGTGGGTGAGTGTTCAACAGCAAAGACCGTGCAGAGGCCACTGGCTGGGGAAGAGGAGGAAGATGTGAATGGATGCCCCACCCGGGGGCTCAGGTTTTGGGGGGAGAGAGAAAGTGTGTGGGGAAGCAGAGGGTGAGGTGCAAAGCTGGGAGCAAAGGAGCCAGCACTGGGGGCTCCTAAAGCGGGGGGGGGGTCACTCGAGGCTGGACACGGCAGAGCCTCCCCTCCCAGAGCCCAGGGCCCTGCCTGCCTGCTGGGGCTGACGCTGGCCAAACACACCCGGGACTCCCGAGGTGGCCACGGTGGGGCAGCCCACCGGATTCTGCCCCTAGGACTGCAGCCTGGGCCCCAGGGCCCTGAGGGTCCTGGTCTCCCTCCTGGAGCCACACACCCTCTGGGCAGAGGCTTGGCAAGTGGGTGATTCCCTGAGTCTTCGAGGTTAGGCCTGAGGACTCCAATTCTAGCTCTTTCTTCCTGGGTCAGGACCCAAATGTAAGGCCATAAAAGGGGTCCCAGGAGTTGGGAAGAGCTTTCTGAGGCACGGGAAGTGGAGGCCCTGCCTCTAGCCCTGGCAGCTGCCCACAGGGCAGAGATGAGACGAGCTCAGTCGTCTGCTCTGGGGACTGAAGACCCAGCCAGTGGGGAGCCCGTCTTGGAGACCTCGGCTCCAGCTGCCACCCTGGGCACCTGCCCTGGTCCTTCCCCTCCTGCTCCCCTGACACGCTCTGAAAGCAGGAATTCCAGAAGGGGCAGTACAATCCTTAGAGAGGGGCTACCTTTGTCTACAGTAACCTCGGACCCGGCTGTAGACAGAGCTCGCACTAGAAGACGCAGGGGCCACCTGGCCTGACTTGTGACCAAGGCCCAGAGGCTGGTAGCTGTAGGTGAGGGGCAGACCCGGCCATCCCCTGACGCTCAGGCCCAACGTCTACTTCTTAGTGGCCCGCCCAAGTTCCAGCTCATCCTCGCTGGCCTGCGGCGGGCTCTCTGTCCCTGCTCTCAGGCAGTGGTTTGCCCCACCTTACCACGGTTGCCAGGCTGGGTATGTGTTTGACCGAATTCTCCACCTCCTCTTCTGTCACCTCGACCAGCGTGCAGTTCTCATCCTCTGATGGCAGTGGCTCCGCCCCATGCCTCGTGACCCAGGGGTGCAGCTTCAACGAATGACAGGAGGGGTGAGGGGCGGGCACAACTGGCTCCCAGGAACCCTGCCTATGAGCGGAGCCAGGGAGGGGACGCGGGAGGGGAGAGGCAGTGGCCTGAGGTCAGGCATGCAAGAGAGCAGGCAAGCCAGGCAGAGGCTGGGGGGCGAGCGGGGTGGGAGGAAATGTGAAACAGACGAAGGACAGACAATGGGAGGAAGCTACGAGGCCAGAACGTGAGCCGGGCTGGATTCGCCATCTGGCCCCAGGTCTCGGCAGAAGTGCCTGGAATTCGCCATCTGCGTTGCACGGTTGTCTGAGGAGCACCCATCACTCCTCAGCAACTCTCCCTGATGCCTGGAAGGCTCAGCTCAGAGCAGGCAGCATCCTCCCCATTTCACAGAAAGGGAAACAGAGGCATGGGGTGGCACGGGGAAGGATACAATCAGGAGAGGACCCAGGCAGAGGTCTGCCCCCCAACCACCTGCCCCTGGGGTCCAAGCCCTTATCTGTAACCTTCTGGGCTGCCCCCTCTTCAACTGCTAGTTAGCTGAGATGCCTAGGAGTTCCCGAAGCAAATCTCTAGATTTCTTAAAGATCCATGTGTGTGCACGTGGCATTGGCAGGGTTGTAGGGGGTGGATAGGGATCTCTTCTAACAGTGCTTTCTGCAACAGAGTGGAATTCAGCAGGCCGGGGTCAGAGGTGGGGGGTCAAATTGCTCACTAACTTCCTCCCACCCCAACTGTACTTTCTCAAAGGGACAGGCAGGGTCTAAGAAAAGACCCCAGGGGCTTCCCTGGTGGCGCAGTGGTTGAGAGTCCGCCTGCCGATGCAGGGGACACAGGTTCGTGCCCCTGTCCGGGAAGATCCCACATGCCGCGGAGCAACTAAGCCCATGAGCCATGGCTGCTGAGCATGCGCGTCCGGAGCCTGTGCTCCGCAACGGGAGAGGCCACAACAGTGAGAGGCCCACGTACCGCAAAAAAAAAAAAAAGACCCCAGGATTGCAGCAGCCACACACTGGAGCACACAGAAACCTGGTCTGGTCCAGTCTAGGGAGGGTGGATGCCATCAGCCCAAGCCAATTGGAGCAAGCGCTAGCTCCTCAGCTGGCAGCGGATCCCACTTCCACAATCACAGTGAACACGAGTCCCAAATCCTCCCCCACAAGCCCCCAGCACCCCAGAGGCCCCAGGACATGGGAGGGCAGTGGTGCCAAGAAGGACGCAGTGCTGTAAACAGAGGGTGTGGGGCCTGACCGAGGCAGGGTTGAGCCAGACAATTCCAAGCAGAGGACACAGGCTGAGCCTCCAGCACATGCCCCAAGGGGCAGCAGCGGCCCCCAGGTACCTTGATCTCAGGCACCACGATCCTCAACTCGGGGTTCTTGTCCAACATGCGGGTGATCAGGTCCTTCAAGTCCTCGGCTATGTCAGGCCTGGGGATGGGAGATACATTAGGGGTGGAGGACGTCATCAAGGGCTCGGAGAGAAAAGGCAACTTGGGGTAGACGGACAATACTCACTGATCTGGAAATTCCAGGGCCTGACTCTTGATCTTACTGTGTAAACACATGATCCGCTCATCCATGAATGGGCACTGCAAAGAGAGGTCAGGGACAGGGTGGCCATCAATGGCTGGCACATCTGTCCTGCAAGGGCAGGCAGCATTCCACACAGGTTGCAGCAGAGAAAGAGACAGCCCAGTGGCCCAATCCAGGGACAAAGCAGATCCCATTCCCCAAAGATCTAAAAGGACCAGGACTGTCTTTCCAGAAGGGCTGGAGCCTTCCTAACCACACTGGCTTTCCTCTGTAGCTGTGCTTTAACTTACCAACTTATACAAAAGCAAACACTCTTTTCACCCACCTGCCAGTTGAACAATAATAATAATACAAAGAACAGTACAAAAGACAAAGCAGCAGCAGCTGTGATTTGTGAGGGCTTAGCCTGGACCAGGCCCTGTACTGAGGTTTCTCAGCACCAACATTTCATTTGGCTGTTACCTCTGCCCGGAATGTTCTTCCCACAAACATCTGCGTGGCTTGTTTTCTCCCATCCTTCAGGTGTCTGATCAAAGCTCACCCGCTCAGGGGGGCCTTCCGGAGCTCCTGTCTAAAACAGACACCCCCTCCACCTCCATGTGATTTCTCATCATAGCACCTCCCCCTGACATTATATTACATATGTATTTGGGGACTTCCCTGGCGGTCCAGTGGTTAGGATTCCACGCTTCCACTGCAGGGGACACAGGTTCAATCCCTGGTCGGGGAACTAAGATCCGCATATCACATGGTGCGGCCAGAAAGAAAAGAAAGAGAGGGTGGGAGGGAGGGATACGCAAGAAGAAAGAGATATCGGGATATATGTATATGTACAGCTGACTCACTTTGTTATAAAGCAGAAACTAACACACCATTGTAAAGCAATTATACTCCAATAAAGATGTTAAAAAAAAAAGAATTTGTCCACTGTTTAACTCCTGCACTGGAACATCAGCTCCAAGAGGACAGAGAGTTTTGTCTGTCTTGCTCACTGCTGACACCTAGTGCCCAGGAACATCCCTGGCACGAAGTAGGGGCTCGATAAATACCTGCTGAATTAATGAATGCTTGAATTATTTCTGTTGATCCTCTCAGAAGCCATAAAAAATAGTAAATATGATTCTCATTTTACAGAAGAGAAAAAACCAGAAGCTCAGAGAGGTGCCGTGTCCTGGGAAGCGCAAAGCCTAGACCGGGCTGACTAAGAAGCCCGTTCATGCACCACCCCTGGGTGACAAGTTGATGCTTTCACTTGGTGGAGGGCCTGACCCAGGAGGAGCTCAGGGATTGTTCTGGAAAAAGAAACCTTTATGTGGGGTGCTCAGAAGGTTGGAAGAGGTCACAGAAAGTGACCTGGTCCACTCCTGTCCGAGGAAAATGATTTCATTAAGAGCAGTAACAAGATAAGAGTTTGGATTGCGCAGGTGTATCAATTTGACAGAACTCATTAAATAGTACACTTAAGATCTGTATGTTCCATGATATGTAAATTTTACCCCCAAAGAAAAAAATGAAAACCACCAAGAGTGAGCTCTAGCTAATGACTGCACTCTGAAGTGTATGTAAGGAGGTACAATTCTTAACAACTTGGCTATATGATCGAAAATGTTCTCATCAAATGTTGGGTGGGGGAAGGAGATTATAAACTCCTTTACTTCCTCATGGGACTAGTTTCTTAAGCTTTCCTCAATAGGAGTACAGGGTCATGAAAAGGAATAATCCTCACATAATCAACCTGAACTTCAGAGTTTAAAACAGAAGCCCCTAAATGTCACTTATATAAAAACAACAAAAGAACAACAACAGAAAGAAGACAAAACAGCACTCCCTAAATCAATGATGCCAAACAGGTTTTAACTTCCATTCCAATTCTATTCCTCCAACAACAGCTTCTAGGAACACTGTTGAGAAGAACATCAAAGCAGTACCAGGCTCAGGAAGAAAGAGTGCCGTTATTGATTAGTGATGCCTATCTGCAGTTTAGGAGAGGGTAGAGGTGGCACATTTGCTGTCCTTGCCCTAAATTCATCAACTACTGTATTTACAACCTCTAGAGCCTCTGCCAATCCTTCTGTTTTAACAGCTCGTTTTGTCACACATATGACTATCATATATAGCTATGTATATCTGGAAAGGCATCTTTTTTCATATTCAGATCTAATGGTGGAAATAAAATGAAATAACTTTCTAAGTGAATAAGTTCCATCTCCCTGCAAGGAGAGATAACTATTAATCCAAGGGGGCAACCCACAACACCCAGGATACAGGACACCCCACCCTGTTACCTGGCCAAACACAAAGCAGTACAGCGTCACACCCATGGCCCAAACATCCAGCGCCTGCAAGACAAAGAGCTCCGTGTGAGGGGCCAAGGGGCAGTAAAGGGCGTCTAATGCTTTCACCTGTCCAGCATCCAATCCTTCAGCTTTTCTTTGGGGAACCACGTCTTCTTGACTGCTCAGTCCATGGGAGTTTGGGTGAGACTATTCCTGCTCCCCAAACCCCATGCCTCTGGGTGGGCACAGGACCCAGGCCTGGCCAATGAGAGCAACACTTCCCCCAGGCACAGTGATTAGTTCAAGGATGGGCACATGACCCACATTGGGCCAATCAGAGCCAATCCCAGGATTTTCACTGGAGCTCTTCATAAAAAAAAAAAAGCTCTTTCTAATTGAGGCTGGTAAACTGGTAGAAAGTAGTCTGGAGCTGCTGATGACCATCCACCCAGGGAGGAAACCAATTCAGGAAAACAGAGCTGAGGGGACTTCGCTGGTGGCCCAGTGGTTAAGACTCCACGCTTCCACTGCAGGGGGCACAGGTTCATCCCTGGCCGGGGAAGTAAGATCCCGTGTGCCACGTGGTGCAGACAAAATTTTTTTTAAAAAAAGGAAAACAGAGCTAAGAGATGGAGAGATGGATTCCTCTTTGAATCCCTGTATCTAGCCAAGCCTGAAAACAAACACACCCCGCTCCTCATTCACATGGTCCAATGGATTCACTGCTTAAGCCAGTGAGTTGGGTTTTTGTCACTTACAGCTGAAAGGACCATAACACAGGCAGAACTCCTCATTGCAGGCAGGGCCAAACCTACCTTCCCAGAGAAGATCTTCCGGGTCTCTGAGAGCGACTCAGGCGCCATGAAGGCGGGAGTGCCCACGGTGTTAGAGAGGAGGGCATCGCTGCCCTTAAACTCGTTGCTCACGCCAAAGTCCGCAATCTTGACGTGCCCATCTTCTCCAACCAGCAGGTTGGAAGGTTTGATGTCCCGGTGGATGATCTTCTGGTAGTGTACTGGGGGCGGGATGGGAGAGAGGGGGGAAGGAAAACCACGTGAGGAGCTCCATGTGGCCCACACAGCTCAGAGACACAGGCAGGAACCTCTCCATTCTCCCAGGGTCCAAGGCCCTTCCCAGCCTTCCCCTCTCAAACCTGCTGAACACCCACAGCTCTGAAAGATAAGGGGAGTGTCTCTAAGGCAGCTGTCCCATCCTCCAAAGTGAGGAGTGAAACACTGACTGCCAACAGCAATTGGTAACTGCCTGCTACAGTCTAAGTCATGTGTGTGTGGAGAGTTTTTGTTGAGCTTGGCTCCCAGCTAGAAGCCTCAAGACTTGTGACAAACATCTTTTCATTTACTAATGCCACCACTCGACCTGAACACCAAACCAACAATGACTGGAGCAGGTCAATCTGAAGTGTGAAGCACAACAGGACTGAGGACTTGGCTAACTGCTCCTGCCTGGATGTCGGCTCATGGGAGAGGACAGTCCCATGGCTTGGAAGACCCAACCGCACTTCTAGGGTGATGATGAAATAATGACATTGGTAATAGGAGCAGCAGCTGACTTTGCTGAATGCCCAGTCTGAGGCCTTGCCCTGTGTTAAGTGCTTCCCATTCACCCCCTTTCAATCTCACAACAATCCTATGTAATAGGCAAAGGGTATGAGTCAACATGTTTAACAAGCAGAGGCAGAAAGGACACCCTGCCAGTCAGAACTACTGATGTCCTGGTGGATTGCTGACCTGGCGAGAGATATTTTATTCCCATTTTACAGATGAGGAACTAAGGTTCCAGGAGATTAAAAGGATCCCAGGGTTGTTGGGAATAAGGGAAGATGCAAGGCACTTAACAGTGCCTGGGACACATAGAAAGTGCTGGATAAACAGTCACTAACACTATTGCTCTTAATTTTTCTGTGTGGCAGGAAGAAGGGTTTCTGCTCGCAGGGGGCATGGCCCCAGCAGGTCTCTCTGCAGCTCAGACAGTTCTTCCCGCACACCTCCCTGTGCTCCGGGAGGGAAATAAGAAACCCTCCACCTTCCATCCACTACCTGGAAATGCTAAGCACTCCCTGGGTGACAGTCCTCCCACAGGCCCCACTTACAATACTCGATGCCTTTGATCAGATCCTGGAAATAGAAACGGGCCTGGTCTTCAGAGAGCGGTTTGAGGGTGGGCACTTCCATCACAGGCCTGAAAAGTCGATACATGCATGAAAAGCAAACCAGACACGCTGGCCTTTGCCCTCTCTCACCACCTCACTCAGCTTTGCAGCTCAAGAAGCTTCAAGCATCACACCTGCTGGGAATGGGGACACTCACCCTTGGTTGACCAGTTCAAACACTGTAGGATAGAGAAGGGGGTGAATGGTTACACTGGAAATTTGGAAATCCATCTTCCTCCCCCTCCTCCCCAACTCCCAACCACCCCTAGAAACACCAAGAAGCACTGAAACTAACATTGGGGCTGGGGCGAGGAACAGTCCACTGAACCAAAACCATGGAAGGTTCTGCTTTTCTAAGTTCCCATGAGGAGGCTAGGAGTCAGAGATTTCTGGTATCCCTGGGACCCCAGCCTGGCTGTACTTCTAGTCCTCAAACAGCTGAGGACCCTCTACCAGAGAAAACAAAGCAGGAAGACCCGAGACAGGTGGGGGCGGCTCCTGGACTCCTTTCATCTTCCTCTCATACCTGGGGGGTGGGGGCGTCTCCCAGGGATCTAACTGATGCTAAACTATGTCCTCTCACTCACATCCAAGTCCTGAGCCACCTTATGCCACAGAACAGGTCTAAGGGGACACAACCCAAACATCAATTTACTTAGGCACAAAGAAGTAGCCCTAGGGGACTTCTGAACCCTAGCAAAGTTTCAATTCAAGAAACAGCAAGAAGAGGTTTCGATGACCCCTCTCACATTTTCCAAGCTGCCAGGCTACATCAAGAATTGTTGGATAGGACTTCCCTGGTGGTGCAGTGGTTAAGAATCCACCTGCCAATGCAGGGGACACGGGTTCGATCCCTGGTCCAGGAAGATCTCATATGCCACGGAGCAACTAAGCCTGTGTGCCACAACTACTGAGCCTGCGTGCTGCAACTACTGATGTCCGCGTGCCTAGAGCCCGTGCTCTGCAACAAGAGAAGCCACCACAATGAGAAGCCCGCGCACCACAACAAAGACCCAACGCAGCCAAAAATAAATAAATAAAAAGGAGAACATTGTTCCAACTCTTCAGCACTCTGTGGTCAGCTGGCCCTCAAACCCTTTCCTGTGATTCTCAATCCAAACCAAGACTTGGAGCTAGAGGTGGGGGATGGAGATCTCCCCACCACCTCAAAGGCCAACTCATCCTATTCCTCCTAAATGGGCCCTTCTTGACTCACAGTCATGTGCGACATACAAATGCCTCACTCCCTGACAGCTTCCTCCCAGCCCTGTGTATGTGGGGACCGCCCCCAAACCATCAAGTATTACATAAATCATATTCAGGGAATGCACAGTTTTTTTTTGCTGTTGGGGGGGTGGGTTATTTTTTGCATTTCTAAAAGTTGAGGTGAAATTTTCAGAACGTTAAACTATTTTAAAATGCATGATTCAGTGGCATTTAGTATTCCACTGCCTCCAGTGAAAGCATCGCCTCTACTTCCAGAACATTTTCAGCCCCTAAAAAGAAACTCTGTGCCTCCCCCTAGCCCCCTGGCAACCACTAATCCGCTTTCTGTTTCCATAGATTTGCCTATTCTGTACATTTCATATACGTGGACTCATACAATATGCAACCTTTGGTAACTGGCTTTTTCACTTAGCATGTTCTCAAGGTTCATCCATGTTGTAGCATGTATCAGTACTTTGTTCCTTTTTGTGGCTGTATAATATTCCATGGTGTGGATATGCCACATTTTGTTTATCCATTCATCAACTGATGGATATTTAGGTTATTTCCACATTTTGGCTATTATGAATAACGCTGCTATGAACTTACATGTTAAGTATTTGTGTGGCTATCTGTTTTCAATTCTTTGGGGTATATACTTAGGAGTGGCATTGCTGGGTCATGTGGTGTAGTTATTTTAATTTTGTTCTGCTTGTACAAATATAACTGGGAATATGAAGCTGTACCTTAGGAAATGAAAAAAACAGCACAGTGGATTTCAAAATCCAGTGGAGAATGACTTTGGAATTGTCTGTTTTCTGGAAGCATCTACCCACATTGGAGCTTCTTATGGAAGAAGGGTTGTTTCAAAGGTTGTCCAAGGGCTGAGGTGGCCAAGGGGAAAGAGCCAGCTCCTCAGACAAAAAGAGGGCTTAAAGATTCTGACCTGAAAAGGAACTTAACTCCCCCAGGGCCCCACCCTGTTTTCACGTTCATCAACCAGTGTTGGCCAAACCGTAGTTAGGGGAAATCTGTTGTGGCTTCAGGCTGTGGTTAGAAGCAAAAGTAATGGCGCTGAAGGTAAGGCTTCCACCGACAGGAGCGCTGGTCCCCTCAGCTCTCTCTTTCCCACCTTGGTTATGTAAACTTAACTTTCAAGAGCTGCTTCATGAATTTCTGTGCTTCCTCCCAAGCACTATAACTCGGTTGGCATGAGGGAAGCTGGCCTGTTGAAACAGGTCTATTTTCAGTCACTTACAGTTTAACCGCTCCTGGAGCCGAGCAGTGGTGCAAAGTTTTTAACCCCAAGAAATACCAGTCGTATTCTCTACCCTTTGAGGGTCAGGCCTGCAGTTGCAGAACCCTTGCTGATACCTGCAACCTGGCTTCACAGACTGCCCTGTCTGTCCTCACCACACACAGCTGTGGCTGGAAACTAAAAAATGACAGTGTCGGGATTTTTTTCAAAACCGCTGGAATCACATACCAAAATCGCATGGCTCCTTCCCAAACTGCCACCTCAAGAAGTGAAAAACTCTGTCCATGAAGGTGCCTGGTCCAAATGGCTTAGGAAACTCTTCTTTGAGGCTTGGGTCACGTTCTTTACACGCTCATTCAACTCCTCGGCTCAAAACCCTCAAGGGGCTCCCTTCTCGCTCAGAGTAAAAGGAAAAGTTTTACAATGGTGTGAAATGTCCTCTGCCATCTGGTCTCCACTGTCCTGCACAAATGTCACCTCAGTGAGGCATCTCGAGGAGCCACTCTGTTTCCCAGTTCCCCAACCTGGAGCTCCTGACTCCCGTGACCCTGCTCAGGTTAGCTTCTTCCCATGATATTGTCACCTTGGAAGCCGATGCCTAATACTTAGGTCTGAGTGTGTCTGTCCATCCTCACCAGAGCAATGAAGTGCCCTGAGGGAGCGGGGGTGGGGTGGGGGGCTTGAGTTTCATTCCTTGAAGAGCCTAGAACAGGGCCTGACAAACTGTAATGTTTGTTGAAAGAACGACCCATCTCCTCAGAAACAGCCCAAAGCCATTCAGTGTCAGGTCTGGGGCCCCAAGCGAGCAAATTACGCTGGGGATGCCATTCTGGGCCAAAAATTATCTTTCACATTTTATGATTTCTTTTATATTTCCCCAAACTCCACTCATTTGCCTACCATTTTTATAATCTGGCCATATTTATATACCATGTAAACTATTGTTTATTTCACACTTTTCTTTAAATTGACTTAGTGTTAAAACTTTTAGCCTTATCCCGGGTAATAATATCCAGGAAATCATGAGTTTAGTGTGCTGGTTATAGTTTTTCCTATGCAATGATAAATTAAACCTAAAACATTTTTTAAATGTTGGTCCAAATACCACCTAAAATCATCTCATATACTTAAAGTGGTGTTGGTACCACATTTTGAGAAATTATGATTCTGTGATGTTCATATTTTTATTATACGAATGTTTCACAGTTTTTTAAAGTTATCATATCTGATGTTGTTCATGTGTACCTTCTAAAATGTTTCTAAAGGAAGGTTTTTAAAGTTCTAAAGTTGGAATATGGCCTGCACACTAGATGCTCTTAAGGAACTGGCATTAACTTTTCCAGGTGCAATAACGGTAGGATTATTGTGATCATGTAGGAGATGCAGGCCAAAATGTTTAGGGGCTGAAGTGTCAAGACGTCTGCTACTTTTACTCTTGGGTGATTCAGCAAAAAAAACACAGAGAGGGCTTCCCTGGTGGCGTAGTGGTTGAGAGTTTGCCTGCCAATGCAGGGGACACGGGTTTGAGCCCTGGTCTGGGAAGATCCCACGTGCCGCGGAGCAACTAGGCCCGTAAGCCACAACTACTGAGCCTGCGCGTCTGGAGCCTGTGCTCCACAACAAGAGAGGCCGCGACAGTGAGAGGCCCGCACACCGCGATGAAGAGTGGCCCCTGCTCGCCGCAACTAGAGAAAGCCCTCGCACAGAAACGAAGACCCAACACAGCAAAAATAAATAAATAAATAAATAAAATTTAAAAATATATACAGAGAAATGGATGGGTGGGTGGCTAGACTGATAAAGCAAATATGACAAAAATTACTAACTGTTGAATCTGGGCGGTAGGCATACAGGTATTCATTGTACTCTTCTTTCAACTTTAACATTTTTCATAATAAAAACCTGGGTTGGGGGGGTGATGAAAAATAAAATGTCCTAAGCAACGACATCATCCTTGGAATTGAACCATGGCAACTACTGTAGGGGAAATTGAGCTCTGAGCTCTAGTTCCAGACCAGACCCATTATTTATGATTAACCACTGCCTGTGCAGCAAAGGATCACCCTGTGCTCATCCCGGAGACAGGCTGGGCTTGGCCCTGCCCATACCACTCATCTCCTTAACACCCCTCCCGGCTGTCATATGTACCCGCGCGAAATGCATACGCTAATACGCTAGTCTGAACGCCTACCCAAGCCAGACAACAGCGGGACACATGACCTGTTGATCACGCCTTCCTGGGCCTGAGAGTCTGCTGTCCGGCTTTGAATTAGTCCTGCACTTCCTTCCCTCATCAGTGCTTATGCTGGGAACTGAGAATTGCCCCATGTCCTCATCATTTTTTAAAAACGAGGTCTCTGAGGACATACCTGAGTGCTTCCATTTCAGTGTTCAGGGCCCAGACCCTTCAATGGCCCCTCAAGGCTCCAAATGCCCCATCATGGCCTCCCAGGCCCTCCATCTTCATCCCCACCCCCTCTCTCTGGTTTTCTCTGCTGCAGTCCCATTTTTCTCAAACACACTAAGCTCTCACCAGCCTTGGGGCCTTTGTACCTGCTGTTTCCTCTGCCTGGAATGCTCTTCCTCAGATGCAACAGGGCTGTGTCCTTGATATTCAGGTGCTAAATGGTCACCTCTTCTCTGCCGTGACCCCTCCATCTCTCTGTCACATCACCCTGTTTAATCTTTTTCAGAGTATCTATCTGAAGTTGATTATCTGCTTTATTTACAGTCTTCCCTCAGGATCCACGGGGAACTGGTTCCAGGAACCCCCGTGGATACCAAAATCCACGGATGCTCAAGTTCCTTATATGAAATGGTGTAGTATTTGCATATAACCTATGCACATCCTCCCCTATACTTTGAACCATCTCTAGATTACTTATAATATCTAATACAATATAAATGCTACGTAAATAGTTGCCAGTGCATTTTTACTTTTTGCAAATTCAAGTTTTACTTTCTGGAACATTCTGAAATTTTTTCTTTTTCATATTTTCGATCCACACTTGGTTGAATCTGCAGATGCAGAACCCGTGGACACGGAGGGCCGACTGTAGTTGTTGACTATCTGTCTTCCCTGACTAGAATACCAGCTTCATAAGAGCAAGGGCCTCATCTTTCGTACTCATCACTGCATCCTTCGTGCCTAGGATGGTGTCCAACACACAGTAGGTACTCAATAAATAACTGCAAATGGATGAATAGGACACCCAGATAAAGTCCCAACAAGAACTCCTTTCCACCTCCTGCTTTGAACCAGGGGTGCAGCCTTCTGTGTGGGGCCCAGTTGGAGCAGGAAAGGGTGGGAGATGCCAGGGGCAGGGGTTGCCTGAAGAGCACCCCTGGGCTTTGGCAGGAGCAGCTGCCTGAGCAAGGGTGGCAGAAAGTAAGGGCTCTCTTACCCATGTACAGATGGTCCTCATTGGGGTCATCCAGGACCTGTTGGCATAGCCACATGGAACAGGCCGGAGATGAAGAGCAGGAGAGAGGAAGAGGGAGAAAAGGTATGAGCAGGGAGGAAGCATCATCCACATGACTGCATTTGCCAATGGGAGGGCTGCGCTCTCCACCGTTTTTCCTAGTTAAGATGAAGGGCACAGGAAAAAACCCAGAGTGTGTGATCCAAATGGCCATCTGGAAAATAAGCGCATTCTAGCCCAATCCTCAAGGGTCCTAAATACCCAGAACGGAGGTTATGAAAAGGAGGGGGCAGATTCCTCCCCTGGAAAATGTCTCAGCTTGAATAAGAATCCCACCTGTCTCCTAGGAGACGACGGACTGGTCATCAGGGTGAAAATTCAAATCCTGTCCCCATTCCCCCTGCCCTGGCAGGAAATGATGTCTCCCTGCCTGGAACTGCCACAGCACTTTCTTTCTCTCTTTTACGGCCTTCCTGCTTTCATTTTATCACTATTTCTATCTTCCTCTCTCCAAAGGGCAGGCACCATGTTGTATCCACCTTGGTTGCCTCCTTGGTGCCCTCTAACAGGACTAGGCACCTAGTAGGCGCTCAGGAAATGTCTGATGAATGAATGAACAGGTAAGCTGGCAGAGTCTTGTTGGGTGGGGAGCCCACACACCACAGGGCACCAGGGAGAGGGGAGATCCTGCCAGGACCCAGACACATGCGCTAACCAAGTGCCCGTGGGCTTCCTCTAAGATGGCCGACTCAAGCATCAGTGAGTTGAAATTGTGAAACTCGGTGTGACAGGTGGAGATAGCCTGCAGCCACCATCTCTCTTCTTTTGGAAAGAAACAAAGACAGACTCCTTGGCTAGACTGGTCCTCCCACCTCTTCCCATACCACACTCACCTTCCCTAGTCATCTAAGAGTCACAGGACAAGAGCCCTGAGAAAGGGATGCATCCTAGGCAGAGGCCTGGGACAGCCAACCTGGAACCCTAAGCTCTGCCCTTCGAGGAAAAGTCAGACCCAGGCACTTGCCTACCTAGAGTTCTGTTATTTTTCTTTGAAAAAATCACTTACGCTAATGTGTAGGATTATTGTTGTTTTTAAATGAATTAAAAATTTGTTTAGCTTCTCAGTTTTAAATTCTAATGTGATAAATATTAATAAACATAACCCCCATAAGCAAAAGTTTTCTGCCTTCTTCAATTATTTTAAGAGCATAAAAGGGTCTTGAGGCCACAAAGTGTGAGATCTAGAGCAGGGTTGGCAAAGTACAGCCAGCGTACAGGCCAATTCTGGCCCTCCCCTATTTCTGAAAGTAAAGTGTTATCGAAACACAGCCAGGCCCATTTGTTTACATGCAAATGGCTGCTTTTGTGCTACAACTACACATATGTATAGCAGAAGGAGAACCAGCTCCAAAAAGAGAGAAACAGGTGAAGGGCAAGCCTCAGTATCCCTCTGAGCCTCAATTCCTTCGTCTATAAAATGGAAGTAATAGTCCGAGCGAGGGGTGAGGATTACACAAGATAACAGGGTGAAGGAGCCTGGAGAAATAACTACCACTCAGCCCTGCAACAGGCTGTTTGATGTGATGTGGCTCTCCCTGGAAACCAGTGGTATGGCATTTTGATAATAACAGAGACAGGGCTGGACCATCACCATGCCTCCCTCTCTCCTCCGTGTCTCCCCACCTCACCTCCACCAGCTTCACCACGTTGGGGTGGTCCAGCTTCTTGAGGATGGCAATTTCCTGGTACACCTGCTCAATGGGGCCCCTGGGCTGAATGCAGCCCCTGGGGGCTGGCCGGGTCCCTCGGGGAGGCGGACGACCTGGAGGAGACATGAACCATCCCAGAGTCAAGGCAAAGAGACTTTCCTCTGCAGAGGGGGACTGTAGGCAGGACAAATGAAGTGGGGGGCTCTCAGAAGGGCTGGAATGGCTGATGTCACACAGGGGTCTTTATTTACTTATTTATTTATTTTGGCTGTGTTGGGTCTTCGATGCTGCACGCGGGCTTTCTCTAGTTGCAGCGAGCGGGAGCTACTCTTCTTTGCGGTGCACAGGCTTCTCACTGCAGTGGCTTCTCTTGTTGCAGGAGCATGGGCTCTAGGCGCACAGGCTTCAGCAGTTGCAGCACGTGGGCTCAGTAGTTGCGGCACGCAGGCCCTAGAGCACGTGGGCTTCAGTAGATGTGGTGCACTGGCTCAGTAGTTGTGGCTCACGGGCTCTAGAGCGCAGGCTCAGTAGTTGTGGGATCTTCCCGGAGCAGAGATCGAACCCGTGTCCCCTGCACTAGCAGGCAGATTCTTAATCACTGCACCACCAGGGAAGTCCCCCACCAGGGGCTTTAAACAGCCTTCTCTTCACCTGACTCCTCTGCTGCTGGAAACACTGGACACGCAGTCCCCTTGCCCAGCCTTCTGTTAATTCTCTCCTTCCTGTCCCACTCCCCAGGCCCCAGTGAGAATCAAGAGTTCACTGAGGTACAAGGAAAAGAAGTCTGAGGTCTAGTTCAGCAATCTCAATATTCCCCTCTCTGGAGCTCAGTTTTCCCACTCCATAAGATGAACAAAAACATTATCCTTCACCTCCATAATTCATGGAAGTAGGAGAGATATAAAGTCTGGGATAGGAAAAGAAGTAAGAGCTGATGAGAGAAAAAACAAAGGGCCTGCTTGGCCCTGCAGTGACTGATAGTCAGAAGGCCACAGTGATGGAAAGGTCCACAGTCAAAACACTTACACTGCATATTATATGTAAGTAAGGATCTAAGTGCAACTAACAGAACAGAATGTGGATGGGTCAGCCTTGGAAAAGTAAAAGCAGAGGTGCAGGTGTCAGAGTGGGATGTGAACAGAGGCAAGGCAAGTTCAAAGGAAAGATACTTGCTGCATCTGCTGTAACAAGGAAGAAAGTGACAAGGGCAGTAACAACAAAGGAGCTGAACATCGTGGTATCACCTCATTGCCTGGTTAGGGAAAGGGAGGAAAGGAGTGGTTTAAGTCATCCTCAGAGGAAGTCAGAAGTAAATGTCAAAAATTAATAAATCAAGACATAATGGCACAAGGATATTAACTGGCTCAGTTCAGATAAGCAGGATAAACCAGGGTCCTGGTGATAGGACAGGGTTTTGGGATTTATGTTTCTTCTTATCCACTTTCTCTTTTCAGCTCAAGCCAACATTTTGCTCAGCACTGCTGGCAGGGAGCTTATGCTGGAGCAGCATATGCTCACCTACACCTGATCACATGCAGTAACTACCAGCTCCTAAAAGAGCTAAAAGTGGGGGCTGCCTCTAGGGAGAGGGAGGAGTACAGCAAGAAACTGTTGATCTCCATTACACACCCTTTTGTTCTTTTGCATTTTTGTAGATATAATTGAAATACCTTATGGTATTTCAATTTTTTTAATTCATCATTTTAAAATATATAATTTAATGGTTTTTAGTACATTCACAAGGTTGTGAAACCATCACCACTAGGTCTTTTTTTTTTTTAATTTTTGTCTGCATTGGGTCTTGCTGCACCAGGCTTTCTCTCTAGTTGCGGCGAGCAGGGGCTACCCTTCGTTGCAGTGCACGGGCTTCTCACTGCAGTGGCTTCTCTTGTGGAGCATGGGCTCTAGGCGCACGGGCTTCAGTAGTTGCAGCACGCAGGCTCAGTAGTTGTGGCACGCGGGCTCTAGGGTGCACGGGCTTCAGTAGTTGTGGCGAGCGGGCTCCATACTTGTGGCTCGTGGGCTCTAGAGCACAGGCTCAGTAGTTGTGGCACACGGGCTTTGTTGCTCTGTGGCATGTGGGATCTTCCCGGAGCAGGGATCGAACCCGTGTCTCCTGCATTGACAGGCGGATTCTTAACCACTGCGGCACCAGGGAAGTCCCTCACCACTAAGTCTTGAACATTTTCAACTCCCCCACAAAAAAACCCATACCTATTAGCAGTCAGTCCCCACTCCCTTTTAACCCTAGCCCCTGGAAATCACTAATCTGCTGTCTCTGTGGATTTACCTATTCCGGACATTTCGTGTAAGTGGAATCATACAATATGTGGCCTTTTTTGTCTGGCTTCTTTCATTTAGCATCATGTTTTCAAGGTCATCTGCATTGCAGCATGTATCAGAATTTCATTTCTTTTTATGGTTGAATAATATTCCATTGACTAGACAGACCACCTTTTGTTTATTCATTCATCCGTTGACAGACATTTAGGGTTGTTTCTACATTTTGGCTATTATGAATAGTGCTACTATGAGCCTTCACATACGAGCTTGTGTGAACATGTGTTTTCAATTCTCTTGGGTATATATGCCTAGGAGTAGAATTGCTGGGTCATATGGTCACAGCATGTTTAACTTTTTGAGGAACAGTCAAACTGTTTTCCTCTGAGGGATTCTTTTTACTTGATACCAATATTACTTCAATAAATATTTTTAAAAGAAAATGAATTTTAAAACGTCAGCAGGAGGCCCAACGCTGTCTTAGGGGAATCCACCCAGGACACCTCTGCAGGGGACACCATTCAGTGGGTCTTCTCTGTATTGCCCCAGCCCCTGCACCTAAGAACAAAGGCTCTGGCCCAACAAACTCACGTGGAAAGCCCGCCTGTCGGATCAGTTTCTTTTTGGACAGCACCTTCATTGCCTGTGGGAGGAAAGACCCCACATCCTGGTTAAAATGGGTAGGAGGGAGGAGGGAGAGTTCCTTCCACTCCTAGGCCTGCCCAAGCTGTCAGTGACCCAGCAGCCGCAGGACAATGTAGTGAGCACCTTGTCACTGGAATGGGTCAACTCCACAGGTTGTGTGGAAGCTGGAGTCCTGGGGTCCCTCCAGGCCGGAGGGTACTTCCAAGGTTCCAGGTCAGCTCTCCCAGCTGGGAGGCCACAAACCTTGGGATTCGCTACCACTGAATCAAGACACAAGTGAGCTGGAGTGATGGGCAAGGAACATTTTACACATGGGGAAACTGAGTTTCAGCATTTATGTCACTTGTCCAAGGACACATAATTGGCACATGGGAGAGCAAGGATTTGAACCCACATTGGACTGATTTCAAAGTCTCAGCCACATGGCAGTTTGTCTCACTACCACCCAGTTCTTAGTGCTATGGAGGATGTAGAAAGGGTAGCCCAGAGTAAGGATATGAGACATTTGCTGAATTTATTCACTCAATCTTCCTGAGCCAATCACTTCACCTCCCCATTTCCCCACTTCCTTCCTAATGCACAGAATAAACATGACCTAAGCATAAAATGAGTCAACAGCTAAGAAAACCTTCCAGGAAGGCAAGTGCTAGAAAGGAGCCTTTTTCTTTGGACAAGGATGGGGGCAGGGAGGGGGATGTGGATACTCACGTAGTAGGTATTGTCATTTTCATTGTAGGCCAGCTTGACCACGCCATAGGAGCCCTGGATAAAGGGAGATGCCTGTGACATACTACCCAGAAGTTATGATCTGCAAAATGAGGACCTTAATACAGAGCTTGCAAACTGGCAGCCCATTGGCAAAATCCAACCTGTATGTTGTTGGATCTGCAGTTTTTAGAAAGTTTGAATTGGTGGCCAACATTTTAAAACAGGTCAGATATAAAAATCCAGATTCTGATATGGATATGGAGCCATAATCATTTCCATATGTTAACAGTTTGCCACAGTCCTCACCACTCCCTACTGTCTTATACCTAGCATGTTTTCCTCATTTATATTATTCACTTGCTCTCTACTGGCATTTGAGTTTCTGACCCTTGCAATGATACTGCCCATTGGCCGATATAAAAGCAAAAACAGATGTGAGAGTACCTTAAGGAGAAAAAAGCCAACACCAATGTTAGTGATATGGAATTTCCCTAGAAGCTTTGTGAGCTTTTGTAGAAACACAGCACGTTGTAAAACAAAACAAAATAAAACAAAACAGATGGACCATAAATGACAAAACTCTCCCCCTCCCAGCCTCATCTCCAAGGACTCCTCTCCCACTCCCAAATCTAGTGGGGTTCCCTCCACAGTATCTGAGACATCCTTGGTAGATATGGAAAACCAGCCTGGCTCCTGGGATATTTACCTTTCCAATTTCGTCCTTCAGTGTGTACTGATTCAGCTGTACACAGTCCTGGAAAATAAGTAGAAACACATAGAATATGAATTGTAAGTTTGCAGCTAGATACATTTTTCACAAACTTAACAAACACCTTAACCAGGACCCAAATCAAGAAAGGGAACATTCCCAGCTCCCCAGAAGCATCTCCCATATACTGGCCCCTGTCCAGGGTGACCACTATCCTGCCTTCTACCAGCACAGTTGTTGTTGGTTTTTTGTGTTTTTTTTGGCTGTGCCACGCAGCATGTAGGAGATTAGTTCCCAGACCAGGGATTGAACCCATGCCCCCTGCAGTGGAAGCTTGGAGTCTTAACCACTGGATCACCAGGGAAGTCCCTACCAGCATAGCTTTTGTACATTGTAAGATCGTAATGATATAGTATGTACTCTTTTAATACCCATTTTAAAGGTTCTTCCCACTTTTAAAAACTTCATTTACTTACTTTTTAAAAGTTAATTTAAAATTAAACAATAATCCATGACTGTGTTATCCTGTAAAAAAATGTAAAGTGATACAAGAGGAGAAAATCTGAGTGTCCTTAGCGCAAACAAAAGTTTCTTAACAGTTTCTCAAAAGTTCCTTTTTGTATTAAAAAAGTGCAAAATATAAAAGGAAACAAATGATAAATTGGATTTCAATCAAAACTAAAACTTTTGCTCTTTGAAACACTACTGAGAAAAAAAAGGTAAGACACGGACTGAGAGAAACTATTTGTAACACTTACAGTGGACAAAAGACTGGTATCCAGAACATATAAAGAACTCTGGGCTTCGCTGGTGGCGTGGTGGTTAAGAATCCGCCTGCCAGTGCAGGGGACATGGGTTCGAACCCTGGTTGGGGAAGATCCCACATGCCGCGGAGCAACTAAGCCCATGTGCCACAACTACTGAGCCTGCACTCTAGAGCCCACAAGACACAACTACTGAGCCTGCGCACCTAGAGCCCGTGCTTCGCAACAAGAGAAGCCACCGCAATGAGAAGCCTGCGCACCGCAACAAAGAGTAGCCCCCCTTCGCCGCAACTAGAGAAAAGCCCAAGCGTAGCAATGAAGACCCAACGTAACCAAAACAAAGAAAAAAACTTTAAAAAATAAATAAATAAAAAAGAACTCCTACAACTCATTAATAAAAAGACAACCCAATTAAAAATGGGCTAAAGATTTGATAAGCTATTTCTCCAAAGAAGGTACACAAATGATCAATAAGCACATGAAAAGATGCTCAACATCATTGCTCATCAGGGAAATGCAAATTAAAGCCACACCCACTAAACTGGCTAAAATCAAAAAGACAGACCAAACCAAGTATTGTCAGAATGTAGGGCAAATGAAACTTTCATACGCTACTAGTGGGAATGTAAAATGGTGCAGCCTCTTTGGGAAACCGTTTGGCAGTGTCTTAACAAGCACTTCCCATATGACCCAGCCATTCTACACCTAGGTGTTCACTCAAAAGAAATGAAAACTTGTGTCCATGCAAAGACTTGTATACAAATGTTCACAACAGCTTTATTAGTAATAGTCAACAACTGGAAACAATCCAAATGTCCATCAATAGGTAAATGGATAAACAAACTATGGTATATAGCTGTACAGTGGAATACTATTTAGCAATAAAAAGGAATGAACTACTAATATGTGCAAAAATATGGATAAATCACAAAATCATTATGCTATGAAAGAAGCTAAGCTAAAAAAAGTACATACTAAATGATTCCACTTATATAAAATTCCAGAACTTGTAAGCTAATCTATAATGAAAAGAGGCAGGTCAGCCGCTGCCTGGGAGAGGGGAGGTGGGGGAGGGATGCGCTGTTGGGTGTGCTGGAAATGTCTGCGATCTTGATGGGGGTGATGGTTTTATGGATGTATACATACATCACAACTGATCGTATTGCACATCTGAAATATGTGCAGTTTATTTCACTTCAATTACACCTCAGTATAGTTAGGCTGAACATGTTAAGTGATACAAGAAGTAAAACTGGGAAAAGAAACACGATAGAAAGCAAAACTTCAAGTGTTACAGAGAAGCCCAAGATTTCCCTTGAAACCCCTCCCATGCCCCAATTCTATCCCTCTCCCCGAACCTTGATATCAGTTTGGTGTATAAACTTCTAGGCCTTTTTCTATGTAAATGCACACATACATGCATCTGTAGAAAATACAGAGTACTGTTTTGGGATGGGGTTGGGGAGGCATAGACGGTGTCACACTAAATCAGTTCTCAACTTCCTTTGACTGGAGTTAGTTCCACGTCAGACCTGCATCTTTGACTTGCTGTGTAACGGGCCCACAGAGCTCTCACCTCACTGGTGGACTTTTTAGTTTGTTTTGTGTTTCTCTCCAGTATTGTTTTCATTCCCCTGAGTCTTGAAGGGATGTGACAGGCAGAGGTGGGGCCCTGCAGAGCTGTCCTAAGGGGTCTCATTGCCTCATAATCTAGCCCCGACATGCTGCTGAGTTCATCTTCCAAGAATCCACTCTGACCACATCAGCCCCAGCTCGCTGCTGCTTCCAGAGTCAAGTCCTGACTTCACAGCCTGACCTTCAAACCCTCTAAAGCTCTGACCTTGGCAGAGTTGTCTAGTTGCCCACCAAACACCAGTCTCTCCTTTCTTCCTTATAAGTGGAACTCTGTGTGGCAACATTCTAGGCTAGAAAACTTCATTTCCCAGCTTCTCTTACAGCTAAGGTGGCCATGTGTTCTGGCTAGTGGGAGATAAGCAGAAGTTGCTGGGTAGAGCTTCCAGGAAAGAGGACTGACTTAGGAGGCAGACATCTTTTGCCTTTCTTCCCTGCTCCTTCTTCCTGCCTGGAATGGAGCTGTGGAGGCTAGAGCCACAGCAGCCATCTTGAGATCATGAGGTTTTAAGGGCAAAAGCAACAACACAACTACCACACCAATCCCCAATGCCTAGCTCTAGATTTATTTTACATGGTTAAAAAAAAAACCCTACTGTGTTAAAGCCACTGTTGTTGGGAGATATCTGTTTCTCTAAGCTGACTCATTTCTAACAGATACAAAGTCGAACTCGCTCTCCAGCCCTGTTTCCACAGTGCCCCCCATTTGGGGCCCCACACTCCAGTTAACTGAATCCCTGACCTATCCTGAATTCTATGGAAAGGAATACGTTGGTATACATAGCTGGTACTTAGTTGGGTTATGATAATCATACTTTTAAAACTAAAATATTAGAGGAATGAGACTACCTCTGTCACCTAGGTGGCCTGTGGCTAGTTAATAAACTAGGAGATGAAACAACAATAACAATTTTTTTAAAATGGGCTCACGCCTTCTACCTCGGGGCCCTTGCTCATGCCATGCTCACCCACTGCAGTGAACTCTCAGTGTGTAGTTAAATATCAGCCCCTTTAGAAAGCCATTCCTGATTTCCAGGCATCCCCCAATAAAATGTATTCCTTCCTTCAACAAATATTTTTGAGCGACTATGCGCCAGGCAGCGTGCTCAGTGCTGGGGACCCTGTGGTGGACAGGACTGTTCCTAACATCCTAGCTGAGGCGGGGGCAGTGGCGGGGAACAGGCAATAAACAACTTAACAAACACACAGATAATCAGATGGTGACAAGTGCTGTGAAGGAAAGTCAACAGAGCAACAGGACAGACAGGGACGGAAGGCTGCTTAGAGGGGGTGGAATGAGAGGCCTTTCAGAGGAGGTGATATTTGAGTTGAGACTTGGAAGCCAGATGGAGATGTCCTTGCAAAGATGGTGGGGGGGGCGGTGTGGTTCCAAGCAGAGGGAACAGCAAGGGTAAAGGCCTAACGGAGGGAATGAGGAAGACAAAGAAGTGGGTAAGGTCGGAGCTCTGTGAGTTGGCAGCACAAAGGTAGGAGATGGGGCAGGAGGTGGGGCGGGGGCGGGTCAGGCCCTGTGAACCCTGCTGGGGATCTGAGTCCCAACCCACCTCCTAGAAGTTTATGGTAAAGATCAAGTGAGAAGTTCAGGTGCAGTGCTGAGGGCAGTGCCTGGGAAGGCAAACACTCAGCAACTGGGGCCGTGCTGTTTGTCAGCGTGCGAGGCCTCTCACTGACCCACCATCCCCATTTCAGAGTCCCCAGCACAACTTCCAACTGCCACCGCGTGCATCTCTGTGTGAGAGGCTCTGTCTGTCCCCGAGATGCTCTGCCCACGCTCAGGGACTGCCAGCAGTTGGTGTAACAGGCCCGCCCTGTTACACCAGGTGGAATAACTCTGGGGCTCGTGTCCTACGCTGTCTCCCAGGGCTGCCCAGAGGTGGAGGCCCAGATGCCCACAGTGGTAACTGGCTCCAACATGCACCCTTTATTGACGTCTCCCTGGGTTTCCTGGGGTCACCTCCCCAATCAACTGGTTGCGCTGGAATCCTTCTGGGGGAGCCCAACCTAACGCGGAGACATTCCGGGCGCGGGGCAGGGCACCAAGGGCCGCCGCTCACATACCTGCAACCCGGTGATGGAGACGTGGTGCGACTCCACCGTGGGCCTCCGGGGCAGCCGCGGCGAGGACTGCGGAGAGCCCACGGGCGAGTGGGGCAGGGCCGGGTAGACGCAGCGCCCATTCGCATCCAGCAGGGACCGCTCCTGCAGAGAGAGCTTGCGACTGGAGAGGTGGGGCCGGGCCTGGGACCCGGAGACGTTGAGGGGGACCTCTCCGCCAGGGGCCTCCAGGGGCCGGTCCCGGGCCAGGCCGCTGTCCACAGCGCAGGCCGGCTCGCACTCAGTGACCACGATGAAGGACTCCATGCCCAGATGGATGCTCAGGGACGAGAGGCCCCGCAGGGCTTCACAGGGTTTCTGGCCTTCGCTGCTATTACTGTTGCCGCTTCCGCCCCCCAGCTCATCCTGGGGGGCGGCCCGGTCGCTACTGGGCTGGCTAGAGACGCATGATGACATGGTGCATGTGCCGACCTCATGCGACACGCACGTGCCCGGGCACTCCCATCCGGCAGCGGCGCCACCTGCAGAGAGAGGAAGGGTCACCTGCCCCCATCCTGTGCGGCAGGGGCAGGGAAGGGGGTCTCTCCTGCTGGGCCAGACTGGTGCCTCATTCCTGCTTTGAGTCGCCGTCCTTGAAAAAAATATCTTGCAAAACACAGTGTGATCTGAAATCTTTTGCGTCTATATAGAAGAGCTTACTCCACATTTCCTCACTGTATCCATTTTTTTAAATTGATATATAGTTGATTTACAACTCTGTGTTAGTTTCTGTTGTACAGCAAAGTGATTCAGTTATACATACGTATACATTCTGTTTTATATTCTTTTCCATTATGATTTATCACAGGATATTGAATATAGTTCCCTGTGCTCTACAGTAGGACCCTGTTGTTTCACATTTCCTCATCTTAAAAGCCCCTTGTCACACAAACAAGAATCCCAAATTCAATTCCTGTAGAAACCAAGTATGAGAAAACCCCAAAATAGAGCACCCATGCCTCCTACAAAGGTGGCAGCTACTTCCAGCTCAAGCCAATTGTTGTTAAACAGGGACTGGGGCCTAGAATTGTCTGGTTCTCTCTCCAACCCCTCTTTTTTTTTTTTTTTTTCAAGAGAAGCTCTAAAGCCAGGATGGTAAGTGAGATCTCTTGATTTTTTTTTTTTAAATTAGCAATTATTTTAAATATTTTAAAATGCTGGGCAGGCCAAATGAAACACTTCCACACGGTGACCTCTAGGCTGCATCACTTCACAATAGCAATGATTCAGACAGCTCTTTACAGTTTATAAAATATCTTCCACACCTCAGGATAATTTCACAAGCACCCTAGCTTGTTGGTTTGCCATTATACCCTCATTTTGTAAATGGGGAAACTGAGGTTCAAGCGAGGGAGAGGGATTTGTCCAGGTCTCCTGATGCAAAGACCATGAGCACAGGAGTTCAGTCCCCTGGCCTGGCGTGGCCAATGATTCTCAACTGAGGAGTGGGGGTCAGGGGTCACACCAGCAGAGAGTGTGTGAGCCAGGGAAGTTTGCGTCGTCTGAGGAGCTAGGCTCAACATATCTATTATCTAATGTTTCCCTAGTTCAGCCCCCAGCTAGTACTTGCAAGATGTAAGGCAAATATGAGATTAAAAAAAGTTAACATCAAATAGCTTGGCGGTTCCTCAACAAATTAAACAGAGAATTACCATATGACTGAGCAATTCCGTTCCTATGTATACACAACAGCCAAAAGGGAAAAAACAACCTACATGTCCACGGACAGATGAATGGATAAGCAAAATGTGGCCTGTCCATACCATGGAATATGACTAGAAAGGAATGAAGAACCGACACAGGCTACAAACTGCATGAACCTCAAAAACATGATGCTAAGTGAAAGATGCCAGACACAAAAGGGCACATGTGTATAATCCTATTTATATGAAATTTTTTTTTTTGGCCATGTCACGTGGCTTGCAGGATCTTAGTTCCCCAACAAGGGATCGAACCCGTGCCCCCTGCAGTGGAAGCGCAGAGTCCTAACCACTGGACAGCCAGGGAATTTCCCTGTATGATATTTTTTAAATAGGCAAATGCATACAGACAGAAAGTAGATTAGTGGTTGCCTAGGGCTGGGGAGGTGTCGGGGGAAAAGGGGAGTGACTGTCAATAGGTATGGGGTCTCCTTTTGGAGTGATGAAAATATTCTGGAACTAGATAGAGATGGTGGTTGCACAACACTGTGAACGGACTAAATGCCACTGATTTGTACATTTTTAAATAGTTAATTCTATGTTATGAATTAAAAAAAAAAGATTGACACACTCCCTTAGACTGTCAATTCCTTCTGTCTCTGGGACAGAATATTAACCTTTGGTTTGTATGTTTGACAAATTCTGCTGGACAAATGTCACAGGTACCACTGGAATTCAGGGAGTATATCCACAGATGCAGACAGTGGCAGCTCTGTGCTGATCACCCACGTCACAAAGGTGCCAGGAAAACAGTGAGAGCTGAGTAGAGAGATTTTATGAATGAATAAAATGATATCTCTTTAAGACACTGGGTGGCAGTGGGGGGATACAGAGGAAAGTAAAGATGGGAGCAGAAAGCCAGTGCTTCCTGGAGGGCTTGGTTGAGGGGCAGAGAAATGCTACCCGCCCTCTTGGGACAGTCGTGCAATAAGTATTTATGGAATAGCTTCTATGTATGCAATCTGGACCATGACGTGGGCAGATGGGGTCCCTTGTGGAGCAGGGAAAGATCAATGGGAAAGGCACTAAGGAACTAACAACAGCATGCCAGCCCGGACATGGCACAATTTTTGAACACAGAGTACAGTGTAAAGGAATAACAAAGTACCCAGTCATGTGACAAGATGCTCAGCCTCAGTTATAGTAAGAGAAGTGCAAATTCAAACTACAACGAAATGGTTTGGTGGCTCCTCAAAAAGTTAAATGTAGAATTATCATTTGACTCAGCAATTCCTCTTCTAGGTATATATATATATATATATATATATATATATGTACTTATATATATTGAAAGCAGGGATTCAAACAGATACTTACACACCCATGTTCACAGCAGCATTTTTCACAATAGCCAAAAGGTTGAAAAGTCCCAAGTTTCCATCAATGGAAGAATAGATACACAGAATGTGGTCTATTTATACAACAGAACACTATTCAGCTATAAAAAGGAATAAAGTTCTGACACATGCTACAACATGGATGAGCCTTGAAAACATGCGAAGTGAAACACGCCAAATATTAAAGGACAAATACTGTATGGCTTCACTTATAGAATAGGCAAATTCATAGAGCCAGAAAGTTTAGAATAAAGGTTACCAGAAGAGACCGGGGGAGAGGGGAGCAGCGAGTCATTGCTTAAGGGGTACAGAGTTTCTATTTGGGGTGATGAAAAAGTTCTGGAAATGGACAGTGGTGATGGCTGCACAACAGTCCATATGTAAATAGTGCCATTGAATTCTACATCGAAAAGTGGTTAAAATGGTAAGTTTTATGTTATGTATATTTTACCAAAATTAAAATAATAATAATAGAGCTACAATGAAATATCTTTTTTCCAACTATCGGATTGGCAAAGACAAAAAATATAATAACAGCACTATTTTGCTGAGGCTATGAGCAGTATGAATTAATATCACCTTTATGAAGGGAAATTCACCAATATCTAACAAAATTCCAAATGCACATACCTTTGACTTACCAATTCTGCACCTGGGAGTATTTACCTTAAAGACAATCTCACACATAAAAAAATGATATACGTGCAAAATTATTTTGGTAGTGTGGTTTGAAATGACTATCCACAGGGGACTGAGTAAATAAAATGAGGTACACGTAGCCCAGGAGAAAATCATGCATTTATTTTAAAAGAGGTGACTCTGTACATCCTAATGTGAATTAGCTCCAAGACACACTGTTACATGGAAAAAACCAAGGCATTCGGATACTGCTGTTGGCATAGGGGGAAAAGGGCCATACGCGCGTACATAATCACATGCAGAGCATATTCCTAGAAAGATACACAAGAAAATAAGAGTGGCCTCAAGAGAAGACAACTGGTTTGCAGAAGTGGGGGGGAGGCAGGGTGGGAGGGACTTAACTTTCACTGTATTTACTTTTATTTTTGTAAAAGTAAGTGTGCAAAGAGTAACTATTCAGAAATGAATTTTTAAAGGAAAGTAACCATAACCACAATGGGAGTTAGGATGATCAGGCCCGAGTGCTACCTCCAGGGCACGAGGCAGAGGGAGCGAGCAGTTGGCTCTATCTCCTAATCCCTTATCCCACTCTGACTGTATCTGAGAAAGAAATCATTAAATGTGTCCCTGTCTTGGCTTCCTCATCCGTGAAAGAATACAACCCAAGTTCAATGTTCTCCACAGTCTCAGCTGCCGTTCCTTTACATATCCTTTTTATAATCCTTATTTCCCAGGAGGGGAAAAGCAGGGTCCCTGAAGTTCGACTGCCTGGGGCCGCAGCCTCAGTTTTCTCTTCTATAAAATGGGCACTCACCCAAGAGTCATGAGGACTAACTGAACTAAGAACTCAGTATTCATGTCTGATGCATGGTTAAGTGCTCAAAAAGCTCTTCTTTCAACAAATACTTCCTGAATGCCTACTACCTGCCAGGCTATGCTCCAGAATGTTCCTCCTCCTGTGTGTGTTCTGTAGCCCTGGGAGCGTGGGCCTGCCTCCCCTCCACTGGCCCGTCCTCCCTCCCAGAGCCACCTCTGACATGGCTGCAGAGTTCCTGAAAAGAAAACTAGTCTGGCAGCACCTGAGACAGTTAATGGAGAACTTTTCTTCTTGCCAACAGAAAAACAATTGCTTATCGATCGCCACTCCAGGCCAAGGACACCAAGCCATCCACCCCTGGCAAAGCTGCATTTAATCAGTCTCCTTGACGAGCTGGCGTCTGGCTCCGTGCCTTGGCCCTTGAGGCCTGGAGGAGAAAGGAGAGAAAAAATGCACTGGCTGGCTCTGAGGCAGAGGTGTGGGCCCCTGTGCTGGAGGGATAGGTGTGTTCAGGTCTCAGGAAAGAGCCCCAAGGGACACAGACCTCAGTGCCTCGAGGCCACCTGGAGGCCCCTCACTGGTCTGCAGCAGGCCTGGCAGGCAAGGACTTGGCCATTCAGCACCACTGACCCCACAGAGTCCAAGCCAGAATCTGACCGTTTCTGAGGTCACAGATCGTATGAGGTCACACACCTTTTAAGGATCTGTTGAAAGCCACCAACACTCCCAGGAGAAGAGAAATCATACAAAAAGACAATGGTTTGCATTATAACAGCTAACATCCAACTGAGCATTTCTTCACCAAACATTGGAACAGCTCTGCCTGGGTCATTTAATCCTCACAGGTCCTCTGAGAGGGAGGGACAGCTAAGCATTCAGTTTTGGGGAGGCCGAGGTTTGATGAAATTCCAAAAGCCCCCTCCCCAAGCCTCCTGCCCCAATATGTGGGTCCTTCCCCAGGCCCTGAAGCCTCCCCTTGGCTGGCAGCC